ACCATATAATGGTACAAATCATCCCGTGTCTTGGCTAGGTGACCAACTCCCAAACAGTCCTGTAATAGAAGAATCAGATGAAGGTGAATCAGGGGATTTACAAGAGATTAATCCTCCTGGGGATTCTGTTCAGCAAACTCGTAGAGGCAGGGTGGTGAAACCCAGGGAGATTTATTCCCCTTGATTAATGATATAGTTAGCCGGGTAGTGATATAGAGGATTTCTTTTGTATATATTGGTAAAACTTCAAGTGTATTATATACAGTATGAGTATTTTGGTTTTGGGTTTACAGTGAGTTTAATTGAATATATGTATATGTGTGTACGTTATATAAACTAGTTTAAATTGTTAGATTATGCTAACAATAACTAAGTTAATTAAATAGCTTATAAAACGCGTAAAATTTGTAAGGTTGCCCTGACAGTGACTATCCTCTGTCAATCATGTTGACAAATTAGGGTACTGATCTGTTACTAAACCGCGTAAATTTAAATCGCGTAAAATAGACATCCTAAATAAGCATAATTAATAAATGTTTGAGTGACTTGAATGCAAAAATGGTGAAAATGAGTGTTTATTTAGACAATGATATTAATATTTTTGATGATTTAAAGAAATATTTACTTTGAAATGAATTTGCAAGTAAACTTGTAGGTAGTATATTTGAAAAATGCTAATTGATATTTATGCTTATGATTTTTTTAGTAGTACAATGGAGACTTTACAATTGGCGGTACAGGAGTCGGAGCTTAGAGATCTGGATATGGACAGAGTGGTTTTTCCTCTGGAAGGAATGGCTTGTTGTGTTCAAGGTTGCGACAGCATAGTTTACAAGACCTTCAAAAAATATATGGAACATTGGAAAGCTAGGCATGTGTCGACTGTTCCTAAGTTTGGATGTGTCGTGTGTCGGCGGCAATTCAATACTAGACCGCATGCCATATCATGTATTAAACGGCATCCTTATGATGGTGATTTTTTAAGTTACTTGCTGATTACGCGAGTGCCAAATAGTGATTTTATTGACCCAAAAGGAATTTCACCCCCTAGAAAAGGATCCCCTAGCGAAATACAGTGCATGCAAAGAAATTTAGAAGAAGCCGCTAAGGAAAGGAGAAAGTCTGTGAAAAATTGCGTTATTCATCAATATGAAGAAATGCTTTCTCGCGACAATCCAGTGAATATGGTGTATAGTGAAAATAGTGTAACAGCTGTTATTTCTGTCGATGGGAGACAAGTGGAGTATGTGCCACCACCATCTGAGATGGACATTTATATTAACTCTTTAAATTAATTAATTATGAATTACTGTACATCCATGATAAAGTAGTATCTACATTTTATATTTATTTGCAAAGTATAACCTTGCTTTGAAAGGGGGAAGGGGGTATTCAATATTTTTGAGACTTTTTTTTTACTAATTGTACAGTCAAATGTATAACATTTGTCTTTTGGGGGGGGGGGGGGGGAATTTGACAAATTAGGTTTATTTACGTTTTCATAATTATTTCATTTCGATCCCGATGTAAATTGTCCACGTTTTATTTGGAAACGCCCACTTTTATCTTTCGGCCAATAAGGTTTTTGACAGTTTCTTTTGTTCCTTTTTCATATATAAAGCTATGTAACTATTAGATCGGGGAGGGAGACAGCTGGCTTCGCTAGCTAAACTCTTCATATACTGGAATCGTCCCTTGTTCGTCTGTCTTAATTAAATTATATTACTACTTAGGTTAGACTATATTTGGGTTAAGTTAGGCCATATTTGGGTTTGGAAATAAGGTCTGCATATTGTGTACTATTATAACGTACTGTAAGATTGGTAATAAATTGTAAAGTCTTGTTAATCTTATTTTCTTTTATAGTTCATTACCATTTACAAATATTTCCAAGGTATATCTAATGTAGAGGTCTTATATTCAGAAAGTCGTCTCAAAACAAAAATAAACACAACGCGAAGTACAGGCTATATGAACACCAGACCTGCTAGAGAATATTGACCTATTTTTCGACCTCTTTGTGACCTCTGTGTATTTCAAAACGTAAAACCAATACTCATTTTGTGGCAGGGATGACTACAGGTTTTTATGGATAAACTTTTGCATCATTCTGAAAGTCCCCCAAAATCAGGAGTCAAAAACCGGTGTTACCCTATCTTGTCCTATACTCGGCATTCAGGGTAATTGAGCAGTGAATGTACATTTTCATGCTAGCACCGACTGCGACACGGGACCTCGGTTTATACAGTCTCATCCGAAGGAACGGTCTCCACGTCCCACATTTGGATTTGACCCATCAACGTAAGGATCAGCTTTTTACATCGCGACTCTAGAGCAGACGCTCTAACTACTGCACCACACGGGCGGCTATGGAATCGATGAACTAATTTTAATATTTTCCCAAAGTCAGAATTTCACACTTATTTCCTTTATTAATTCCTTCTCAAATATTTAATAACACACGGACAAGAAACCTTCAAAATCATTTTAGTTAAAAATATAAAGAAACCACTTGATATAGCCACCAAATAATTATATCAATATATCATTTGTAAAATTTGAATAATAAATATGAAACATGAAAATAACTATTGATAACTATTATAATTCAAAATCCATTCCAACAACACAAATCAGGAGTTGAGCAAACATAGACATCTTAGGCAGGAGGTGAGATCAGCTGGTCCCAGAATCATAAAACAAACTTAGACTTAAGTCAAATCCTGAAAAATGTTTATTTATTATTGAATTGATCTAAAAACTAGCAAATAACAACATGTTAATAAATAAAAATTAAAAAGACATTCAATTTTGGTCTGTTTGCCGTCTATGAAATATAAGCACAGAATGAAGATTTTGACTTAAGTTTAAGATGTTTCATGATCTTGGGTGCCAGGTGTTATGTAGGAGTGATCATCCTCTGCCGACTACTTGTCACACCCGCTCCTGTATAATGATCAAGAAGAAATGAAGACTATGCCGACAATTCAGTGTGTAATTAATGGTCTCATTATTAGTACCGCCTGTTATAAATCACATCCTGAACAAGCGATAGGTTGGATAGGTCGTATTTGCTTTCAAGGTCATTATATCGACCATGGAACTTACAGAATGTTGACTTTTACCGAGAGTGTTGATATTCTTCATTCATGAACTAGACTCATCGTCTGACAATAATTAACTTGTCTCCCTTTTAGAACTTGTTCATACGTAGGTTGTGCTCATGCGTATTGAATCACATGAGATATAAACCCAGGTAATAATAGTATCTTGTTCTTATTGGCTCTTAAATGAACTTCCTCACAAAAATTTGAGGTATATTTTTTTATGCGCCCGGATCGATAGATCCCGGGCGTATATTGTTTTTGTCCTGTCTGTTTGTCTGTTTGTCTGTTTATCTGTTTGTCTGTCTGTCTGTTGTCAACTTTAACCTTGGCCATAACTTTTGAACAATAAAAGATAGAGACTTTATATTTGGTATGCATACTCCACTAATAAAGTCCTTTCAAATGACATCAAGGTCAATGACCTTGTGACCTTGACTGTGACCTATATGCTAAAAATAGCTTTTTCCACTGTTTGTCATAACTTTTTAACCATAGGAGATAGGGACTTCATATTTGGTATGCATACTCCACTAATAGAGTCCTTTCAAATGACATCAAGGTCAATGATCTTGTGACCTTGACTGTAAACTATATGCTAAAAATAGCTTTTTACACTTTTTGCCATAACTTTTGAACCATAGGAGATAGGGACTTCATATTTGGTATGCATACTCCACCGATTAAGTTCTTTCAAATGACACCATGGTCAATGACCTTGTGACCTTGACTGTGACCTATATGCTAAAAATAGCTTTTTCCACTGTTTGTCATAACTTTTGAACCATAGGAGGTAGGGACTTCATATTTGGTATGCATACTCCACCGATAAAGTCCTTTCAAACGACGGCAAGGTCAATGATCTTGTGACCTTGACTGTGACCTATATGCTAAAAATAGCTCTTTACACTTTTTGCCATAACTTTTGAACCATAGGAGATAGGGACTTCATATTTAGTATGCATACTCCACTGATTAAGTTCTTTCGAATGACACCATGATCAATGACCTTGTTACCTTGACTGTGATCAATATGCTAAAAATAGATTTTTTGAACTTTGTTGCCGCCGGGCGCATAGTGTTTCACAAACACATCTTGTTTGTATCTTTAAAAGAATTTGTACACGGTGCAACTGAAGTTATTTCTATAATAATGTTTTAAAATATCCCTTTATTTGCAAGTATCACTAAACTTAATTAATTTATCATATTTTGATTCAACAAACAATTTGAAAATCAGAGAAAAAAGTTTTGAAGATTTTTTGGGAAATTAAGAAAAGATGCCAAAGATACAAAAACAGATATTCGTGTCGGTAGACGGTATATGCATCTTACTTGAACATTTGGACTGAGTCCTGTTATAATTTGACAATGAACTACTCGTCCACATAAACCCAACTATATATATATATATATATTATAATTCAAGATGTCCTTGGTATAGGTATGTACATATAGAAAAATAATCCAGAGTTTGTAAAAGATGATCACATTTTATTCCATAGCGCTTTCGCCATTGGGCTCTTCAGTGGATTTTGAATAACAATAGCAACATGACACTGAAGAGCCCAATGGCGAAAGCGCTATTGAATAAAATGTGATCATCTTTTACAAACTCTGGATTATTTTTTTATATATATATATATATATATATATATATATATATATATATATATATATATATATATATATATATATACACACACAAAGTATAAAAAATATTCGTCAGATTCATGATATCGCATTTGACTCTCTATCTCTCATCTGTTTGTCTGCGCTTATTTCTACTTAATAATTATCTTGTTTAAAGAACAGAAAATTCATTCATAAAATCAAATATTTATTAAAATTATTCAGTATTTCAAAAGTATAAAACATCTTCGTTAACCGTTTTCATTATCCATTAAAACCTGTAGGGCACGCTCCTTCCAGAAGTCGGATTTCGTCAATAGCGAACGTTCCATACGAGATGTACCCTTCAATTGCCTGAAACAATAAATTACATTATTCCCATCATTCAGAAATATTTCTAGAAGGTGTTTTATTTGAAAAATGTCATCGTGTCCATTCAAAAATTACCAAATGGCAGAGAAAAAAAGTTGTTGTTTTTTTAAATCTTATTTCGTTTAATATACTTTATACAGTATACATGTGAACGCTGAATGTGTAACAATGATGATCTATTTCTTACTGTTATTTCTTTGATATAAATCATTTGAACAATATAATTATTTACAGCTCATGACCTATTTGACGTCTCCCACGAGATATTGAACTAGGTTTATATACAACTATACTTTTAAAACTTCATTAACTATTGAAGAAGTACATTTCTCTTTTTCTTCTTTTTTATACAAATTTTCCATCTGAAATTCACATTCCCATTGATATTTAGATTTTACAAATATTTTTTTTTCTTTTACAGATCATCACAGAATGCTATAACAATCAAATCTTTCGAAAACCTGGCGGTGTTGAAATTGATATCACATAGATAAACGTTTTATAAGATTTATTTAGACTTTAAAGCTGAACCGTTGTCATATGAGAAAACTGGGCCATGCCTGAATGATTCTTTCAAAATAGCTTGATTAAAATTTTGATTTGAATATATGGCGTAAGCATATTAAAACTCCAACTAAGTCATTATGATTACATGATAAAATAATTCACCGGTTAATTTCTGAGTCTTTTTTTTTCTTCAGAAAAATCGTTGTAATTATTTAAGCATTGAATTCATATAAAATGACAAATTAATTTGTAATGCACATTTGTTGTATTTTATGTTAATTTTAAAAGGGTAGTTTTTTTAAATGAAATTGAGTCAAAACAATACACATTTTGTTGTTCCTAAATTTTGAAAATGCATGTAGTTCCTACTGTGTATTCTAATGCGCGGTGACAAGGTTTCGCGTGTGTTATAGAAATTTGAACGTCGAGAATTTCGAATGGATTTCATAAAGAAAATTACACTGAATGTAATTATACTGATTTTAAAAATACAAATAAGTAGTAAAATTGTTTGCTTACAATATGATCAGAAGAGGTTCCATAAAATGGGATCTCCACCGAGTACCAGTTGCCGTTAGTGGTCTGATTGTATGACCAAAGAACCTGTATTTGTTGGGACATGTTGCGGAGATAAACGTCCACATAGTGATAAAAGCCATTGATGTAAAATCCAAAACTGATGCAGTACTGTTTATCTACAATTAATAAAGTAAAATTCAATAACTAAAAATGATTAGTTCAAAAGCCGGAAAAGGCAAAAAACAAAGCAAATAATTGAGTTCTTGATAAATGTTCATTTCATCTTTAAATACTCTATTTAAATACTCTGTTTTCTTCCTGGATGACATTTTTAAAGAAATACTGTATACAGGGTTATTTTCGCCCTGTATTATTTTTGCCCTTTTGCACTTGCGAACAACTTTGTCCCGTTTTATTTTCGCCCAGTCATAGTTTTGCTTAAGAAATTATGCTGTGTAATTTGAATTCGCATCGTTTTAAATTCGCCCAATCAGGAAGAGGGCGAAAGGGGCGAAAATAAAACGGAGGCGAAATTTTTCCTGTACACAGTAAGGAGAGACGAGAAAATAGGTTTTCAAAGAAAAAAATGCAATTTCCGAATGATCCAACAAATCTCATTCTTACACTTATTATATGCTCCTTAACCAAGGGCCAAGAGATTAGCAGTTTTCAAAAAGGCGCCATTTTTCATCATAACAATATTCTTTATATTTTTGTTTAATACAAACACCTGACTATGGTGTATATCGCTATACTTTTTCACTCAAAATGAACATGTCTTTCATTTCCTTTGTCATTGTGAAAGGCCATGGAGATGACATAAATGTTTGCAAAGTAGAAAAAAATTTGATGTCATATGGAATTTTCAAAAACTTACTACTGAGGGTTCCAGATGGGGATTCCAGTATGAAGGAATAGCCAGGTAAAAGATATCCAAACCTGGCAGTATTAAGATACCCAGCATACGGTTCCATGCTGGAAGATACCTACACAGTAGCATGCAAGAAAATAAAAAGATTTTCTGAAGAAATGGTGAAATACGAAGATTTTTATGCATAAACTTTAAATAATTATTTAAAAAATGATTTGAAATTTGCAATCTTACTTCATTTCTTGTTCAATTTTTTAAAAAAATTTTCATTTAGGAATTACTGTAAAATCACACATTTTCCAGGGTTCAAATTTTCGTTGTTTTAGGGAAATATATTGATTCACGAGGATTTGAATTTGTGGCTGAATTGTTCAGTAGTAATATATGTGAAATTGTATTTCGTGGTGGACATAAATTCGCAGGTCTCATCGTACATCGAAAACCACGAAATTAAACCCCCAAGAAATTTTGTGATTTTACAGTATCAAGTTGAAATTTTTTAAATACTTTATATACATTTTAAAAGCCATAGGTGACAGGTCTCTAAAAATCAATAATCTTAAGAAGCAGATGATTACCTGTACTGAGTAAAGTTCTCCGTATTTCACCATCCAGCAATTAGATGATTCGAAGTTACAAAGTCTGGAGGTACCTGTAGGCGGTGTAACAGTTGTGGTCGTTGTTGTCGTTGTTGTACTGGTTGAAGTGGATGAGGCTAAAATTGAGAGTGTATTATACATAGGGAACATAACAGAAAATGTAATTTTTTTGTCATTCGATTAAATTCGATTATCGAGTCTCAACCTTGTCTCAATATTTTCTTTATCGACTTTATCATAAATTTTCCAAGAATTATATATTATTTTTCTTGAACACGTTTGTAGGCAAAGAACAGAAAATGTCTAAAAAAAAATTTATTAAAAAAAAAAACTCTCTCTCTATTATTTCACCTAAAATCTTTATCTCGTAAATCTGTCTTTTGAATAAAAAGTTTAAAAGTATAAGCTACAACATAGAATATTACATCTACTTTTTCTGATATTTGTGTTGTTTGTTACTATATACTTACTTTCACAGTTAGGCCCGATCCATCCCGGTGGACAGTCACATGATACACTGTTACCAATTATAGAACAGGTGCCGCCATTTTGGCATGGATTCGGTTGACAACTGAGAACAGGAGTATCGCATGTTGTTCCAGTCCAGCCTGTTGTGCATGTACAATCAAAAGTTGAGCCAACAACGGTGCACGATCCGGAATTCAGACAGGGATTAGGATCGCATGGGTTTGAAGATGTTCCTACAAAAAAAGCAAACATTAAATCTGAGTATAATATTTCGTACTTAATGCTTTTAAAAAATATGTTAAAAATGATCTGCATGCATATAAATGAAATAGATAGAGAAAACAAACGGTATTCAAGACATGAAACAATACTAAAAAGGAGCAGAGGAAACACAGACCTCAAAACAGGTGTGTATAGTGTTATTTACTTAAATTTACATTGAGTATAGATATCAAGATTATTATTAAGTATAAAATCATTCTTTATTTCATTCCTTTTCTTTATTATAAATTCATGTTCATATATTAGTGTATTTATAATTACCTGAACAGAGTTTGTGTAATACTTTCAATGAAATGTATTGCATGTATAGAACAAATAGAACCTACCTCCTTCAGCTTTCACAGTAAGTTTGAATCTTTGACCCTGTGAGGTTTGGGTGTTTTTATTAAATCGACTGTCAAACTTCAGGAGCATCAGGTTGCTCTCACCATCATTTGTCGTTAAGTAATTTTGACCGCTAACTGTGTTACACTGCCTTAAAAGCAAATAAAGAAGATAAATAAATAGATAAAATAAAGTAAAATAATATCCAAATCTCCACAACCAGATTATTGAATATGGTTTAGATTATTTATAAACATAGTTTCAAAAAGTCTGAAGTCAATTCATAAAATGTAAAAATTAATAAGTATACTTAAAAATATTTTATAATGTCATACCTGATTCCACTTTGGCCGATCATATTGAACCTAATCTCTAGCCAGTGATAGCACTTCGAATCAAAATTATTCCTTGCTAAATCCAGTTCGTCTATTGTTAGTCTTATATTTGATTCACTTGGCCCCTGGCGAGAAAAAAAAACCGTCTTTTTATAGTACATTTCAAAATTATGTGACTTAGCAGAAATAAATACGGTAATTTACTTATTTAAAAGATATTTTTCCGGACTCTAATTAAGGTCTTCCGTTTCCAACGGAAGACCTTCTACTGATTCTGATGATTAAGATTAATATTCTTATTATTCTTTTTTTTTTCCTTTTCCTAGACGCCAACTTTGAGGCCTCATATTTCACTCATTTCTCAATGGATTTTGCTCAAATTTTCAGAGTTGATAGACGTTACTAAACTCTATCAGAATGTTATCTAAAATTTAGAAAAGTCACTTCCGGTTTTGAGTTATTCCCCTTTAAACGAAATTTTATAGGCTTTCGTTTCCAGACAAAGACTCAGAGACGGCTAAAGCTGGAGCAAAAATTCTACTGATTTTAGATAATAGAAGGATTGAAGTTGTGCATAGTGATTTTTGTTTTTCGATTTCTCTATTTAAGATGGCGCTATACAGGGGTCAAAAATTAGAACGCCTAAAAGAGCGAAAATTTACACATATTTTGCTCTTTATCTTCTAAACTAAAAATATTTTGTTAAAATATATAGAACAAAATTTGTGCAGAATTACAAGATCTTTTGAACGATATCTAGAAAAAAGGGCTGACCCCTAAACTAAGGGATCTAGAGGGACCAAAATTTTTTTCCAGATATCTCAAAAAGTATTGAGAATTTGTTATACATCCAAGAAGCAATGTTGTTCAAAATGTCAAGCTTAATCTAATGAAGTTGTCAAAATGCGTCCGGCGACGTCACTTCCGGTCAAACCGGAAGTAGTCAGAAAATGCATATTTTTGCTGTTCTTGACAAGTTTTTGGGTAACATATATCACAACAAGCACAAAACTTGATTTTCTGTCCATCGACATCACTTCCAGTCAAACCGGAAGTAGCCAAAAATAGCTTATTATTTAAGGTTTTGATGCAAAATTGAAATTATAAAGTGACTGGAGACGGCTAAGCTCATTGCTTTCTTTTTGCTGACGTCACTTCCGGTCAAAACAGGACGGAAGACCTTCTCGTTGCTTTGCAACGAGCTTTGCTCTAGTTTTTATTCTGTTTTTTTCAGTTTTCTGTTTTCTATAAATAATAGACTTACTCTGACTAGCCAGACACATTCTTTGTCGGTGCTAACCGCATTCGGGTAACCAGGAGACTCGATGGTCTGGCTTTGACCCGAACTCAGATTAATAACACCACCACATCCTAAACAATGATAATTTTGTTAAATTTTATTGTTCAACCTTTTTGCTTATTATGGCTGTAGTACTAGTACTTTTACTTATCATATTTCTGAATGATAACAGGACTACATTTTTTTAATTTGATATCGTATATGATGCATCCTTTTTTATTATTTCGTAGTCTGGAACAACTGAACCATGACAAAATTAATGATCAACCTGTTCTTTTTCAATGCTTGCTTGTTTGTTTTTTCATAGAATTTTCCTGTACAGTGTAGATATGGAAACCTGTTCGAAGAGTTTACCTGTGTCGGTGGTAACTTGTTCACACGTGGTTCCTGTAAGTTCAGAGGGACACAAACATTGACAGGTATGGGCCACAAAACCCTCATTCTGACAGCTGGGTGGATTTTGACAGGATGCTGTGTATTAAAAAATATTTCATTTAAGATATAACTGTCTTATGTTTTTGGTTTCATGATGTGACCAATCGAGTTGCTTGCGTGATAATATGCCTAAATGCAAAAGGCATTCATTCATAAAATTACCATGCAATGGAAATTTAAATATTTCATCATGAGCTCTCAGTCTACATGTATTTGCATGAATAGAATTAATAATGCTCTTTTTCAACATTCCATTACTTTCAAACAATTCAATTCAAATAAAATGCTAAGACTACATCATGATTTAACAAACCTGTGCACTGATACGCGGTTGTGATCTCTTTTAGATCATTATGCGTAAATGTTTTTGCAGTATCAATCAATGCTTCCAATCTGGTGTCTTTTAGTTGCATTGTTTTCCCACCATTTTGGGAAAATGACTGAAAAATAAACTCTTTGTTTTAATTCGTTGTTCCTAAAAAAAAGACTTTCTAGTCAGAAAAGTATTTTCATCTATTTAATTGAAAAATTCAATTTATGAAAAAATATCAACCGTCAATGGGTATTGCAGAATGGACTCCACATCGTACGGTGTTCTGTCAAATGTATTGCTTTTATCAAAGTTGTGGCGGCCATTTTGGGGAATGTTGCTGTAAATTATATCTATGTACTGGTCTCGATCTGTTCTCTGCTGTTCGTGCATCTGACCAATTGCGTGCATCAGTTCATGAATCACAATTTTTGTCTGATTTAAAAAGAGAAAAGAATGGTTATTTTCTTTCATAGCTAACATATAAACAGTCATATGCAATAGAAGTGTTATATTCTGTAGCAAACATCTGAATGATGATGCTTGCTCCAAAAAGTAATATTTACCGATGAAATCTCAAAATAATATTGAAACATATTTATTTGTACGATTTGGTGTGTCAGTTTCTTATTTTGAAAAGTTTAGCTTATATAGGATGCAAATGAAACACACCCCACAAATGTGTTAATTTCTCATTAAATGATGCAGAGTTTTGCATTTACTTAAAATAAAAATGGAAAAAAAAAATGGGCATGTTTGTGGCCTCACTTTGATTTGCACGAATGCCAGCATTAAAAATCAATATCAATCTAGATCCAAGTGCATTCACAGGTGTTTAATAATAAACAATAGCGAATGTTTTGTTGTTGAAGCTTACAACTCTGTATATATCAATTTAGTGGGTTTTTTTTTTTTAGATAAGCGTATCGTCTTTATCAGCGCTATTTACTGTTTATAAAAACACTTTTAAAAAGTAACTTACCTGAGAACATTGGGGATCCTGCAGAGTAACTTGCTGTTCTAACATATCAGTGCGTCCAACATAAGAAGCACAACCCTGTCTGATTTTTTAAAGAAAAAAAAAAAGAAAATAATTTTTGACAATATTTTACAGAATACCTTATGCTAAGATCCTACATGTATTTCGGGTTAACTCTGATATATTATATTCTTGAAGACAGTTCTTGAAATAGATGAAGGATAATCAAACGATAAAAAATATGTTGTTTGAAAAACTGAAATTATTTTTTTGAATACATTAATATATTTATAACATATAGTCGTTTTTGTATTTAATTAATTTCAAATATCATTTAGAATTCTATTAATGGTTTTTTTTTTCGGACATAGAAATCTCTTTTTAAAGAAGCCAAGGTATTCTTTTTGTACGTGTTTTACTTGACAAGGACCAAACTGAAAGGTATCTTTACCCATTTACAAACTTCAGGTATGTGTTATGAGGAAGACTTGGCCTTTGAGCATTTGGGACGAACTGCAAGCAGGTAAGATCATGAAATTCCTGGATCCCCTCCTGTATTCCTTGGTTCATCTGTGAAGATACTAGTAAAAAGAGTTTTATTCAAACTTAAGTATTTCAAAAATTACTAAACATTGTATATATTTGAAATATTGGATATTAATCAAAAATTGTCCCGCTAAACTTTCTGATAATGTTATAAAATGTTTTGAATTGATACAATGTCCTCTACAGAAAAATTATGTAATATTGCCAAAATCTTTAAATGCAGTAGCTGGAGAATGTATAGAAATACAGTACAACAGTTACTATGCTGTAAATAAAAAAAAAACTCACATCCACTTTGGATAGTATATGGGATTATTTTGCTCTCCCAAAGACGTGCATCTGTCTTGAAATTTCTCTTCATCTGTTAAAAGATCTCTGATGTTCAGTACCATGTATGGTAGTTTTAATACATAATTAATCAATTAATAAATGAAATTTTAAAACGCGATATTCAAATCTTGTCAATGAGAAAATATAATTTAAAATTAAGTGTAACATACCCTTTTCTTCTTAGATTTCTGTAATTAGAGTTACAGAAAAGAAAAATTTGTTTTCTGTTTTTTAAAGAGTAAGTTAAAGTTTCTAAGCATTTCTTTTCTTTTCATGCCATTGAACATGTCAATTTTATATTGATAAAAAATGTACTTTTCATGCACCGTGCGCGTGTCATAAATGAACTTAAATGAACTGAAATTCTGATTCAAAAGCTACAACTGAAAATACACACAGAAATAAATAACGTTTACGTTTTTAAAAATATCATATTGTGTGATCTCCCCCAAAATATATACAAGTTTAAAGTTTGCATTTATTTTTATGTTGAGTAATTTACCGGTGGTTGAGGATGACGATCGAGCTCCGTGATCTTCACTGAAGATTTTCTGCTTGGTTTAATTCCCTTTGGCTACAAAATTTAATAAATCTAATAACACAATGTATACGTAAAGCACAAGTCCATATAAAAACATAGGTAGACATCATTTACTTCTCACTGAGCCAGAAAATTAACAACACAGAAAATGTTTAATTCAAAATGTCATATGTGTGATAATCTGAAGGATACATCTTTAAGTTAATCAAGTTCATTTCTCTTCGGATAAGTTGTTTAATTGCTAGATTAATATTGATGTTTTCGTCAAGGCAGCACTACTCTAGATTTAATTCATCAGAACGTAGGCATTTTTTATCTCCATTGCCAAGTTTTCTTACAGCTTACGTGTAAAATGACAAAGAACAATACAATGCTTATGATAACCGTACCTTATGAGGAACCCCGTTTGCATCAAAGACAATCATTGTCTGAAGAAGGTCTGCTATTGGTGAGTCCTGATCGGTCCCATCCTGCGAACGGTGTTAAGAAAAATAAGCTTCGTTAACTCGAATTCAATTTGAAAGAGAGAAAAAAGAAATACTGTATACGGGGTTATTTTCGCCCCTTGTTACTTTCGCCCTTCCACACTTGCAAACAATTTTGCCCAGTTTTAAATTCGCCCCTTCCGAGTTTCGTTTAAGAAATTATACTGTATCATTTGAACTCGCACCGTTTTAAATTCGCCCTAATGAGGGAAGGGCGAAAGGAGCGAAAATAAAACTGGGGCGAAAATTTCCCAGTATACAGTATAGATGGTGAAATATTTAACAAATAAATGGTTGGGAGTTTCGACCCCCCTTCGACATACCCATGTAATCGAGATATTGGTTTTAGAGATACCGAAGGTCGACTATGCTCTGATTTTCATGAAAAAGCATTCCATTTTATCAATTTGCCAAAGTACAGTTTCAGTTACATATTATAAAAGCGCTTTTTGATCTGATTTTCTTTTAATTTCTAAACAAATAAAAAAAAAACATATGCCATTTTTTTATGCTCATTGATTGGCATATATTTCAATTTATATTCAGAAAGAAAATATGATTAACGTCATTTTGTACACTTTCTTATATATCATGTAGTAAACAATAATTCGACAAGACTGTAAGCGTGACTTCCTACCGCGGTAGTTGTAATGTAAGTGTAAGTGAACATGAGGAAAAAGAATATAATGGGAAATTTCCCTGCTGTATTCTTGATTATATGTATACAATGAGAAATGTTTATCAACAAATATTTCATTACACATGTACTCTGTCTTTGAATACAAAAAAAAACACTTTTAATTCAAAAACCAAATTTCATGATTGTGATATTACTCTTACATTATTGTTTGAAGAATGAATAAAATAGATATTAAAATATACATTTAGCTTGTGAAAGCATCGAAATTTTATTATATCATGTTAAAATAAAACCGAGAACTTAAAAATGAGCAAAAAAAGATAGCTAATTAAATTACATGTAATTACCCATTCATCTATCAATCCTGGACGCCAGATACCCAACTTCTTAAAGACTTCCCAACTATTCCAAACGAAGTTCCGCGGTGTCTTGAAATTCTTCAGATTTCCAGCTAGAGGGAGATTAAGAGATATCAAGTTTGACATTTAATTTAAAAAAAGAAGAAGAAAAGAAAAACAATAAATCTAAAAATATGATGTTATAAAACATTTTAAGTATCAACTTTAAAATGTAAGTTTTTTTTCGCTTTAAAGTTGCATGCTGAAATACTTAGATCAATATTTGTTTTTTTTAATTTCAGAAAAATTTGCAATTGCTAAACCGTTCCACACATCTTTCTATTTACTTATTACCAATTAAACGTACAAGAAAGTTGAATGTTTTTGCATCGGTCTTAAACTTAAATTTTTGACCAGTCTTTGATTTGATTTGAACATATTTTATTATGTAAAATACATAATTGGATTGGGCAGCAGGCATAGCCTATATGAGCCCTCTCCAAAGGTACAAGGTTAATTAATACACATATATAGTAACAGGTTTATATATGACCAATAAGTTGTATACAGACACAAATTTAAATAGAACATAGGGGAAAGAAAGATACATGAGTAAAGATAGAAAAGGAAAAAAAAAACAACATATGAATACCGGTTTATAAATGTGGAAATGAATTGAATCGAAAAAATGAGAACTACAGCAATTTATAAACATACAATGAATGTGTATTTAACTTAAAACATAAACTGGAATAAGTATTACATAGTTACACTTCATTTATGAAACCTTTTGGTTTGTGATATATAATTGTGAACACAATCAAATAATTTCATATTTTTTGCATATGATATACTACTATCACCAAATAATAAAAGATTAAGGGAAATAGGAATAGGATTTTGCAGGTCTATACTAGATATACAGTGAAAAAGAGTGTTTCTTTGCTCAACATAACATGGGCATTCAAAGAAAAAATGATATGCATTTTCTATATGAAAATCACAATTTTACATTTTGAACTATCACTAATATAATCTTTCTGTAAATCGCCATTTAAACTACTAGCATTATTTCTTAGCTGACAAAAATATTTTGACTACGATTACCATGATTAAAAAGCTTATTGGGTGTTCTATAATGAGCACTGGTGAAAGAAGATAGTGTTGATAAATTTCTAATATGATATGATAAATTATTCCTTAGTTTAATTGTAGATGGGAAATAACTATTCATATATGATGTGGTCCTCGTCTGAGGAATAAGAAAAGTAAGACCGTCATTGTTTCTTAATGAATATGTGGTTTGGGGTGGAATACAAAGTCTTAGAAGATCTTGAAGGTACTGTGGTGCTAACCCATACACAATTTTGTAAAATAATATTAATTTATGTACTTTCCTTCTGTCAGATAATGTATTCCAACCCAATTCATCATATAAAAGTGATCTTGAAAACTGTAATAATTCTTGCAGCAGTAATTTGAACTTCTTCCAATAGAGATGACTCCTTTTCATTACAATTAAACAACATCACCATATTCTAAAACTGGTCTAATAAATGTCATATATATTTTTATTAGCGCTTTAAAGGGAATGTTTTAACATACGTAGAACATTTAACCGTTTACATGCTTTCTCATAAGTAATTTGTATGTGAGATTTCCAATTTGCATCACACTGAAAATTTAGTCCCAAATGTGTGTGATTTTCCGATGGCTCAATTAAGGGGCCATTTAAACCAAATTTAACATTGGGATGAGAAAAATGCTTTCTGGAAAAATTTACATTCACTGTTTTCTTGGGGTTAAAATCAACTTTCCATTCTTGACCAGTCTTTAAGTCCATCATAAGGATTGTAAGACGGCCATGTCACTGCTATGTCACCAATGATCTTGGTTCATATCGGCAACACGTAAATACTGTGAATTGGGAAACCCCCCCTTTTTTTCCCACTCGACAAATTCCTGATAGAACAAATTTAAAACAGGGCGGAAAATTCAATGAACACAGCATCATTTCTTAAACAAAATCATGACTGGGCGAATTTTAATTGGCGCAAAATTGTTTGCAAGTGCAAGATGGCGTAAATAACACGAAAAAAACCCAATAGCTGCACAAATTGTCACATGTTATTTAAAAGATAGCATTACTGAGAAATTATAATTTCGTAATATATATCATCAATGATATAATAATCTTATGGATTTTCTTTTTCATTATTTGTCTGTTATTTTATTTTTACTGATAAAGCCAAAATATTGCATTAAAAATTGTTTAGTATATATCGATTTAATCTGTTCGGAGATCTTCCTTTTTTAGTATTTATCATAAGTGAAGAGTATACCTATATAGACCTACGTACTTGAATGGGTATGGGGGCAACATCTGTTTTGTTGGATCTTAAGGTGAAAATGTTGTCCGTTCTTGGCAAATGCAACGATTTTATCTTCAGGTCTAAAGAATTAAATGTTGCCCCCTTCCCAGTCTTACACTATTTTTATAACCTTCAGATAAGCTTGAACACTAAAATAAAAATCTTACGCATATTTAGTTATTTACTCAAAACATAAACAATTCTTTATAAGTTCTATTTGGCTTTATAAATAACAGTATACCTTTAAAAAGGAAATTAAAATTGTAAAATCATTATATCACAGACATTATCACAAAGTATATTTTTTAATCCTTTAAATAGCATAAGTAAATAACGGTTTATCTTGAAACCGTCTTTTTAATTGTCGCCGAGTTTGAACGATGATTAATCACTGGTGAATATCAGATGTAGCAGTGACGTCACTGTACATACACTCACAAATCGTACGCAAAAGAAGAGTATTCCGTGTGTTTTTTTAATTTATTTATTTATTTATTTTTTTTTTGGCAAAATAAGAATATGACTTTTTTTTTAAAGATAGAGATTTACAATATAAAGCATAATGTAGGATTGTTTTGATGCAATAGTGTGATCAATCAGCATAAAAACAGAATCAACTGAAGTTATTTTCAAAATCAGACTTAAATAAATTTACTTTTACATAAGAGTCGCCCTCTTGGTATAGTATAAATAAAATGTCCCCTATGATTCGAATCCATATACGGAACGTGGACAACTATCCTTCGAATGATACTGCAGTAACTGAGATCCTGTCCCGCAGTAAGTGTTGGCACAAAAAAGGCCCCCTCCACTGCTCAATAGCACCGAGTGCCGACAAAAGAGTCAAATTCGCTACAATCCACAGGCATATAGTGGATGCTCGATATGAATAAAAAGATTTTACAATGCATTAAAAAAAAAAAACAGGAAACTAACAAATAGAAAATTAGGAGAAAAATGGTGCACATAAAAAAATCTAAAATTAGAAAAAAAATGAATCCTATTCACTTGATGTACATTACCTTCTAAAGTCTTGTTGACTGGTAGAGCGGAGGCCCCAGCAAAACAAACAAAGACAAAAATGGCAAGAGTCTGCATGGTTGAATCGAGTATTTGGTAGTTACTCTGAATTTCAAGATGCTTCAACTACCTCCTCTTTTATAAGGGCCCAAGACACGCCTCATGGCAAAGTGTGCCCTATTTTAATTTTGACGAAAACGATTTTTACCGGACTTGTTTTGATTTTTTAAGTTAAAACGCATTATTAAATTTTATTGATTTCAATAAAGTACATGATAATGTACGTAATCCTTATTTTTTTTTTGTAAAACTAGAGTACAAGGGGTTTAACTTGTTTATGTATTCCATCCTGTTTTGGGGGATCGTTAGTTAGCTGTACTTTTAAAATTTTTATACTTGCATTTTTTTAACAATAATAATGATAATTTATTTAAAAAATAAGCATCACAATATCTGAGTGAAGTTTGTTTTTTTCATCATTTTACAGATATGCAGTATTTTACTGATAAAATATTTTAACATATAAACTTCATAAAGGGAATATGTACAGATTTATCTTTATTTGTAAATTTTTATATGAGTATATTTTTTATGTTGTTACAATTTTGGAAGCAGAATAAATGATTTCATTTTTAAAAAGTAGCACCGGAACAAATTTCCGATTTACAGCCTTTTTAATTAATTTTGCTTAACTTAGAATTTGCCAATACGTGAACCTTAAAATCCAATATGTTTTACATAAGTAATGCTTGCATGCATACTTATATTATCGTTTCAATGGTGCAGTTATTTTTTTTTCCAGAACTTGTAGATATCATTTTGTGTAAAATTGTTAAAATTTTATTCTGTTCGATTTTTTTTACATTAACGTAAATAAGATTGAAAAATATAAAACTCATTTCAATTCATCTTACCTATAATACAATGATTCAATGAAATGATTATAAGAAATAAACAGCAGCTTATGGCGTTACATTTTTGCAAAATAAGAATCTGACTTTTTTTTAAAGAAAGAGATTTACAATATAAAGCACATTTTTTTTTCAAAATTGTAAAATTTCTGGCCATTTTCAAACAAATTTAAACATAGAGCCTATCATCGTATTAGTAGAATAAGAGCATCTGTAGATCTAGCGTGTACTTTATTCTGATAAAACATCTATGTTACGAAAGGCTACGTAAAGTTTATTAACGTTTTGAAAAAATAAATCTTTTTTGTCAAATTCTATTAAATTGTACTAAGTTTATTTTATTTTATTATTTTTTTTTTATTTTCATGATGTGCTTAAGGACTTCAAAAATTGGTAAAAGTACAGTCTTAAAATTTCTACTTTATTGATATTTGTTTACAAATTCATTGTTTAGATCAAAGTGATACGAAATTATGATAAAATAAGTCAATGCACCCCATCTTTCACTGGTACTGACTGTACATGGTGTGTAGCAAGATCATGCCTGACTGAAAATTGGATGAATGAAGGTCACGCTCTATTAAAAAACATTTTATTTTAAAGTGCAACTTAATGATACGAACTAACAGGTAAATTGACGTGCTTTATTGTTTTAAATAAGCTTAAAACATATGAAAGAGCTATTTTAATAATCTTTTAAATCATCTAAAATAAACAAAATAATGAACGGAAACATGAATTAGGATTTTAAAAAATTATAATAAAAAGTAAAGACCAGCTAGGGAGAAATTAGTTGAGATATTTTAGGCATTTTTTTTATTTTGCAATTTAGTCTATACTTCGTCTGGTGAAAATTCCAAGCTCTAAAGGTTTGTCTATAACATCCGTAGATAAATGCTAAATTTTCGGGTTAATTGTATTATGATTGCATTAATATAAAAGAGTTGAAATTTTACTGCACACAGATATTTGAAAAAAAACTCAACCTTACAAAAGCATTTATGGTTAAAAGCCATTCTATTCAGATGGCTGAGATTGCCTTTTCTCTTAATTTTAAAAGCAAAGCTGCATGTACAGTGTATGTTTTTCAGTCTTTTTTAACACTATCTGTGATATACAAGAAATTAAAAATTGACGATTGCTACTTCATTTGTGACACATTTAAAGTGTGATTTTTTTTTTGGAAAGAGTTGGCTAGAGTGGTTTTTTTAATTGTTTGTTTATATAAAAAAAAAAAATTATCTTCAATTTATTTGACTAGAGTGACTGCAAAAGTGCTTGTTTACCAGCAGTTTTGACTGAAAAACAATCTTTAGGTGGTGCAAAGGAAGCTTAAAAAATAAATCGTATAAGACTAGGAAAGACACTTTTATGGTGATTTACAAAAAAGAAGGAAATCATACGAGTAATTTTAGTACAAATGGGGCTCTTTGAAAGTTGACAAGTCATGATAGAAACAAAAAATATCTCAACATGTATTTTGATCCTTTCACTTAAAATAAAAAACAAATTGAAGATAATGACCATTTATAAAACACAAATTGAAGATAATGACCATTTATCGATTTCATTAGAACAAAATACAAAGCAATTCTGTAAACCTGTAATATAAAAGAATCCCAAAGGTGGGGTCAGGTGCTTCAGTGGAGTAAGCATTCCCTGCTGACCTTCACATTTGCTGTGAGCCCTTTGTATTAATCTAATAGACGAAACGTTTCTTTGTTTAAAGTTAGTACCATAACAAAGTCTATCAATATGTATGAGACAAGTTGGACAAATACGACCCATCACCTGCATATGGAATTTATATACATGTATCTCAGTTGATTCGATAAGCAGGAGCATGCTCTAAGTATGAACGATTTTTAAAACGAGGTAAATTATTGACAAACAAGTTGATGAAACAAAAAAAAGCAGTCTCGTTTAAAGTCATCATTTCATAAGTTCTATGGTCGATACAGTGAGCTTATCAGAATACAATTTATCATTGAGTTAAATGCTGACTGACATTTTTCATCCTTTTTGTCAGTCCATTGTTTATATTGTGAATTGACGACGGATTTTTCCGTTATTTTTCGATCTTGACAAGGAACACACAGCGGGTGTGACCGGTCGGCAGGGAATGCTCACTCCTTCATGGGACCTGATCCCACCTCTGATGATTTGGAGGTATGTGTTTGCTCTGTTCCTGTTTTGTATTGATTTGTTTTATGGACTTTTGATTTTGAATACTTTTTGTTTCTTCCAGTGATAGGTCATATTTGCTGATAAGGTCAATATAATGAATATAGACATTGGTTAAGCATTTGCTGGACCCAGCAGGATATTTTTGTTTGTAAGAACTTTATGAAGTAAAGCAATCCAAAAAAGTTAGTGTAGATCAAACTCATTTAGTATAAGCAGATTTCAAGACGTAGAATAAACGAAACCTAAGTTCTTCCTAAATAGAGTTATAGAAATGAGCCTTTCTAACAAAGACGGTACTGTTACCTGCCTTTGTTTCGCTGGAACCTTTATAATGACATATTGTTCATGTATAGTCTCTACTTCTTTTATAAACTCTGATTTAATAAAAAAAAAAAAGGGGGAGCATACTAGTTTATTCGCATTTGGCCTTTAATTTTCATGGACGTTTTCCAAAATGAGTCACTCATACATTTCATTATAATTCGGTACTTTAAGTAGGAAAGGGGATCATTCTTTAATTTATATTGAATAATTTTAATGACGCACTAAGTTCTGAAAATTTTTTCCTACATTTGTGTAAGCATGCTGTTTTACACATATTGTATCAATTCCATAGATATATCTGTCAAATTTATAAACCTAACAGCAATAATTCATTTATTGACAAATCAAAGTATATTAATGGAATTATATATATATATTATCTCAATTTTGAGCTGTGAAGCAGTAAGAGTGCATCAGTACTGTTTACAGGGAATGAATTACAAACAAAAGCAAAATACCAAAAAAAAATGGAATTTAAATCATTTATAGTAAGAAGGGTGTTTCCTCAAATGTACTTTAAAGCTATTTGTACTCTACCAGTGCGTGTATATATTTTCAATAAACTGAAAACAATGAGAAATATATGAAATATATCTGCTACATTGTACATTCGAAACTGGGATGCATTCTTGTTCTTGTCTACTTTTAATCAACTATATACTTTTTCATCTGCAAATTGCCAATTCAAATTTTCGGAGAATTATAGGCCTGCTCACTCCATCCATGATTAATTTGAATTGAATTCTACAAAATATATACAATTGACCGACCTATTCATTGGATTTTTTAACGTCATCCATTAAACTTGAATGAATATTTGAGTCGTAGAAATTTTTTCAGTGATTTTATATGGCTCTTTAATTAAATTCAAAATTCAACAAATCGAAGAACCAATTTTCAGACCTTAAAAAATTGATATTTTTTAACATGTATATGCAGTGCAATGACGTTTTTCTTTTTATAAGAGTTGAATGTAGGGTCGAATCCCACTGTGAGACCGGTCCTTCGGAAGAGATCTATAAACCGAGGTCCCGTATCGCATTAGGTGCTGGCATGAAAAAGACCCCTCACTGCTCAATGACCAATGTGCTCACCAGTGTGAATAAATGGAGGTCCTTTTTACGGGAAATCAAAAGAAATCCAACAACAACTCACTTCAGAAAACAGCGCTTTTTATTGATGTTGTGTCATCATTTATTTATTGATGTAGTGTCATCATTTATATGAAAGACTCATGTAAATAAAACAGTATTCTTCAAAACGTAGATCAATGGACAAGCATTAAATGTTAATTATTACATGTATATCATAAGCTAACAGAGTAAAATAAACGTTATAAATAATTATGGCACTTAAATCAGGAATTTAAAAAATAAAACTAATGACGCATAATAAAGTTATACTCAAGAAAGATTGATAGGTTAAAACGGTAAGCCATAACAAAGTCAGTCGATCATACATCTTTTACTAGGACCTTCCAACACAGCATTTCCTTCAACATCGATGAGAGAGGTAATTACTGGTCAAGAAGAAATGCAACTTGGTTAGACGACCAATCTCATAATAGCACTTAGGAACTTTCTCAAACATGAACTGAAAAGAAGAAAGAGTGCTAAACTGTGAGATCTTTCATATTAAAACATCATGATACAAGCAAACACGAAAAAGCAATTCTATATAACAACCTCTTATTTTCTTCAAAAAATCATTTAAATAAAATAGTCATTGTTGAACACGATAGGGGAGATGGATTGAAATCTAGTTGTGTGATACCAACCCTCAACAGTCCTTTGTCGGGATGCTCTACATAAGGAGAGGAGTAGTCCATCTTGAACAGCAGTGCGAATCCAGTCAGACGACCTCTGTTGTAATACAGGAGAAGGGGGCACAGCTTGTGGCAATCCTCATTCACATCGAAATTGTAACTATACATCTTTCCTATCAAATGAATATAATTCATATGATTGTTAGAAAAGAGTCAATTTGTTGATGTGAGATCAAAGGTATCATTAGAATTTATAAGTAATCTCGTCATTAGTAATTGAAAGGTTGTCCTGTCGGTTCAGGATATGTTTGATTTTACAGTAGCCATGGATCCAACTCGTAGTTAAACCAACCTTACCAAGTACAAACTAGTAGTTAAACGTCATCTGTAGTAACAAATGATTCTGCATGCCTGACGTCATCAGATCTTTAGTCATACCTTATTGTTTTCAGTTGTATCATTTTCACATTTACATCAACATTAAAGACACATTAGTTTTATCATCATCAGAAATTTTAGATATTTTCCCTTGTCATAATTTTAATTGTAACAAAACATGCATTCTTATCTCGAATTACAATTGATATCCCCGCCGCTAGTAAACAATAAAGGGTAAACCTGCACCATTCAGTCACAAAATTACTAAGAGATCTGGTATGTTGACTGAATTGGAAGAATTAAGCTTTTCATCTCATTAAAAGATACATCATCATTAATACCAGGCGCGGATCCAGGAATTGAAGTTAGGGAGGGCGCCAAAAGTAGGCAAGGGGTCCTGGGTTGGGTCCAGGGCAAAGCCCTGGTGGGGGCCAAGGGGGCAAAGCCCCGAAAGCTCCTGGATTCTAGAGATTTTATAGGGTAAAATGAGGTCTACCGAGTAGACATATTTACATTTTCTAGACGAAACTGTGATTTACGTTAACTTTGACAATTTGAGGGAGCGGGCGCGCGCCGGGTGCGCCCCCCCCTTAAATCCGCCACTGAATACAAGATACATCTATTTTAAGTTGTAAAACATTCACATCTCTTTTATAGTTCAATGTTTTTAATATATACATTGTATCAACAACTAAATGATGATCATTTCAACAGTAAATTCAATTTATCTATCGGATACACAAAGCAACAAAATGCATGCGTATTTCAACAAATACCTTTTATTAACTATTAATGATGATTTTAAGAGTGGGAAATACGATGAAGTAAACGATTAGGTTCTTCCTAACACATATGCGTTTGAGCAGATGTAGGCTGTTACCTTGAGTCAAGAAGCATTTTTCTGGTTTCCAGGGTCCCTCTCGTTGTAACTCTCTTTCGTCACGTGGTATCTGTATAAAATAGTTGCTCTTTGTTCCATTGTGTATGAAAAGGCCAGATCCAGTGCCCCAGTGTTCAATATGGTCGATAGTTCTAGAACGTTCTGGGTCACAAATGTGCTCTAGCAGAAAGAAAGGAGAAAATTATTAACAAAACCTTTTAATGAAATGCAAATATTTTCTTTAGAAAAAAATATGCATTCCCCTGAATTTCAACCAATAGAAAAAGTCAATGAAACATCACAAAAAAGTATCAGAGAAATAATGCGCAATTAAATTAAACGTCTTTATGAGGCAACTTAAATTTTATTCTGCAAAACAAATATGTTAAAATGTAAAGTTTGAAATAAATTTAAAAATTTATGTGTACACCAATATCAAACCTGGATCAATGAAGTAAATAGTGAAGAAAATAACACCATCTTCCTCAACAAAGGGATGAGTTACAGGGTGGTGCCTTTGAGGGTGGTGAGTTTCAGTGTGATGAATCACAGGGTGGTGCGCTTCCAAGCTGCTTACTGAACGCTTTCTTTCTCTTTCAGTGTTTTGAGGAGAATTACTTTTTGATTTTAATAAAGGAGACTTTGTTTCTGAGTTTTCATTATGTGGTTTTTTAGGTTGTTTTGCCGCCTTTCTTAAAAAACGTGACCGGTATTGTTCTTGGTTTGGGTGATAAAAATGTGGGGGGAATATGTCTGATTGTGTTGATGTCTTTGAATCTCCAGACGGTTTTGCCGCTGCCTCAAACGCCTTTCTCTCTGCTGGAAATCTATGGGCTTTTGATTTTCCCAAGGATTTTGCTGTTGAATCAGATTTCTGTCCTGTTTCAGGAAATGTCCTTGTTCTTTCATGGCTCCTCGAATTTCCGGAAGACAATGTTGTTTTCTTAAATACATTTTCTGTAGAAGGTGGTGTAGATTGTCTTGAATGTAAAGTGGAAGGAAGTGGTTTACTCTGTCTCGTTGTTCCGTGTGAGGTTGATGGTGTAGAACTTACTGAGTCTTCTTCTAGATTTGTATCTGTATGTCTTTTCGTCCGAATTTGGTCATCAAAATTTTGCATTAAAAACGGTCTATCTTCTTTTGATTGTAAACCCTCCAGGTATTGTTTAATAAGCTCCTCATTCATAAACATTCTTTTTGAAATCTAAAAGAAATACTTGGAATATATTTATAGATATTAAATGCAACTACATGAATTTAAAATTGTGTTACACGAGTTTGTAAATTGCATTTACATTGAATAGTGTCACTTGCTTATTTTTGCCACATTTAAATTGTCTGATGGCTTTAATTATATTTAAAATGTCTTATATATAATAAAATGCGTAAGGTGGAAAAACTGTTGAAAAATGCTTGAGAGGAATTTAACTCTAGTGTACGATATGTTTATCATTACACGCATGTAACACTTTAAATTGATAAACTATTAGTTTAACAATTTAACTAATAAATGTACCAATTAATATTTTAGTGACAAAAGGAAGACCTTTCTTTGAATATTATTTCGTTTATCTGCGAACATGTTTAATTTATTTAAATATTATGAAGAATCTCTTTCCATAACAACTTCACAAATTTCGCTTTACTTACTACTGACTGCATTGCGGATCTGTATAATTCTACGGGACTCAATATATCTGGGTACTTATTGTTCAAGTTTTCCATTTCTGTTATGCTTGGAAATCTTTTGTCGAAAATAGTTCCTTTTGCTGGAAATTGTAAAGCATAGATAAAATTATGAGTTATTTCATTTGATTAAGATCTCCTCTTTTTATTTCTCAAACAATAGACCACAAGAGAAAGGACATAGTTTGAGTAAAAGGTTGATTTACCCAGTGCGGTTTTTATGTCGTCTGTATTAGCTAGTCTTCGTCTTCGATGAAGCACAGGTCTCTCCTCCTCGTTTAAATTTTCCTTCAATTTCTTTTGCAAGTTTTTATTTTCAAAAGCACTTTTATGGAACTGAAATAAAATTTTGTATATATTCCATATACGAAAGACATTGTTGATTAAGTCTCTTGTCCGTATATCTATGAATAAGAATGGATTCTGGTAATACACTTTTCCCTCATATTTTGTAACAAAAGTCCACATTTAATTTATATCTGATAGAAGTTCAAACTTAAAAAAAATATTTCCTCACCTTTCACAATTGTAGTTACAGAAACAGGAAATAGAGAATAAAGCTCGAATAAGCTGTAGGGCATATAACTTTTATATATGTAATAGGTTTACTTACAATATTCAAAATTAAATACTTGAAATTGCAATGTACAAGTAGATTATTAAAATTTTCCAGCAAGAAAAATGACCAGTTTCCATTGATATGAATCCAAATCTTTACTAGCATATTATCTTTATTCCAAGTAAGGTATTCAAAGTACTACAATCTCTCTCTCTCTCTCACATACACATACACACTTTGATAACTACTTCTCAAATTTTGCTTTACTTACTAATGACTGTATTGCTTTTCTGTATGATTCTAACACGCTCTTAATTTTCAAGTATTCCTCTTCTGTCATACTTGGAAATCTTTTGCCGAAAATAGTTCCTTCGGCTGGAAAGTTGTAAAGCATAGATACAATTGTGATTTATTTCATTTGATTAAGATCTCCTCTTATTTATTTCTCAAACAATAGACCACAAGAGAAAGGACATAGTTTCCATTAAAATGATTTACCAAATCGGTTTTTATGTAGCTGTATTTAGTCTTTCTTCCAAGTAAGGTCCTCGTTTAGTTTTTCCTTCAATTTCTCTCTCTTATTTTCAAAAGCACATACACATTTTGCATATATTCCATATATACAATACGACAGACATTTAAACACCCAATTTTATGTTAACGCCCCCAAAATCTACCTGATTCAAGATCAATAATTTACCGCCTGTCAATCATAAAAAAAACAATAGCTTCTGATTTGATTGACAGGTCAGCTACCTGTGCTTCTTGATGATCTGAGATTGCTATGTTTTGAAAACAATTACCTGGTCACGCGTCAAACTCTTTCATGTACCCGCATAGTATACACGCGGGTTAGAAAACTCCAATATGTTTGAATTTTATTTCAAAAAGTAATTGAAAGTAGATTATTAAAACATTGACATTATCAAATATTTGTGATCTTCACTGCTGTTTGTTACTTGTAAGTGTTATATCGTCCACGTTATCTGTAGAAAAAAGACCGCGTCCACAAGAGAAAGGCCGTAATTGGAAGTAGATTTAAAATATTTTTTAAGAAATGGGATATAAGAAAAATATTCAGCACTTATAAACGGCATAGCATTGTTTTAAAAAGATGTTTTATTTTGTACTATGGCTAAAATCCGCACGATGTTGTACAGAAATTGATATGTCAGAATAAATGCTCGAATTTCCTCGCGTCTGTATATACGTTATGAAAATTTTCGATTCTAAAATAAAATTTTGTTGAATAAAAAAATGGAATATTTTATTTTCAGGGAAAAAAAAGCATTTCGCGGTAAATGCATGTTCACATGAAAATGATTAATAATTTTTTTTATTTCAATATTCAGACCTTTTTAACCAAGTGATTTCTTTTATTGAAGATTAAAAAAGATAAATATTATTGATTTGTAGTTTTCACTCGTCATTTTTTCTTTTATGTAAGGAAAATATTTTCTAAAACGATGAACATGTATCTTATTGTTTTTTTTTCCTTTAAAACATTACCATGATTACGATGAATGCGTTAAGTTTACAAATAAACATATTAAAAAAATTTACGTAGTTTCACTCAAAACCAGACACAAAACACGTAATGATGACCCAGATTACCAAACACAGACTTCCTGTGTAATGCTACGTATACACAGATTTTTCACATCTTGGGTATTGGGGGTCTCCAGGTAAATAACACCACTGTTACTTTGACCACTCCCCCTCCTCAGGTAACCGTACGGTAAAAAAATTGGGTCTTTAAGACTTATTTTGTTAATTAAGGGATTAAGGTAAAACACTTTTCCCTTATTTTGTAACAAAATCCACATTTAATTTATATCTGACATAAGTTCAAACTTTAGAAAAAATATTCCCCCTTTCAAAATTGTAGTTACAGGAAATAGAGAATAAGAGCTATATAGAATAAGCTGTAGGGCATATAACTGTTATACAAGTAATAGGTTTACTTAATATATAAAATATTCAAAATTAAATACTTGAAACTTCTATTTACAATCAAAGAAGATTATTTAAATTTTCCAGCAAGAAAATGACCAGTTTCCATTGATATGAATCCAAATCTTTACTAACATATTATCTTTATTCCAAGTAAGGTATTTAAAGTACTACAATATCTATCTCTCTCTCTCTCTCCAATTTACTTACCCCTGCCTGTACGCCTGCTATATAACCGTTTGCATCGTAAATCACTACCACACTAGGGTCTTTATTTTTCCAATATCGTTTTCCTTTGAATAATGGTACTCTTCTTTCTTTGCCTTTTTCCATTTCTGGATTTTTAAAAATATCATAGAAAGCATATTTTAAGAATTTTACAAATGTATCTGTTTTATCTTACATGCAGCTTATATATTTCGTATCATATCTCTTGAAATAATTATTTACTGTATATCGGGTTATTTTAGTGGGATGCTAATTCTGGCTTATTTTGGCGTTTTGATGATAGTCCGCTAAAATTGTAATCGCTAAAGTACTGCAAATATATTACATTTTGCGGTGTATTCTATGAAGCGATTTTGGCGGAAAGCAGAGTCCGCTAAATGTCTTGTATATTAAGATTTATAACTAGTACATTCAGACAGGGCTAGATCAAATCTACGCTAACATGTTGAAAATTGAATTTCAGCCAGTAGTCAGTACTCTTCTTAATGTCTATCTGCAAAGAGCTGAAACCCCGCTTCCGCTAAAATAAATTACGCCAAAGTTATTGGCATACCTTTCAGCATCCAAAACGCCAAATTTTATACAGTACTCTATGATTTATTTTTGTGTGTATATATATTTCCACGTCATCGTTTTATAGGTTTCTTCACTCCAGTGGTGATTCATTTTTTCTTTGAGAATATATAATGACTTTGTACTTCTTAATATTTTTGGATGTATCTTTCATGGTTATATGGTTATTTGCAGACAGGATCGAAGAGTTTTTGCAGAATACAGGGAAATAAATATTTAAGGAATCACTGTCTAGTTAGTATGCCAGGGCATCGACGTTAATGGGAAACATGGGATAAATTATCCCATGTTTCCCACTATCGTCGATGTCCCTGGCATACTATACTGACTAGACAGTGATTCCTCATATTTCTATTTCATTGTGAAATAAAATTGTAGATTTAGATTTTAAAAATGAAGACATAGATTTAAATTATACGAGGACTTCCATGCCATTTTCTATAGCCCTCGCACATTGATGTCAAACACAAAGGCAACTGCACGAGATTTACATGCACATTTGGCCTCCTTAGCCTCAGACACAGAGAAAGATGCACACAAGATTTACATGTATATTATGCCTCCTTAGTCCCTTACCTATCGACCTGCCTAATTTACATTCCGCTAGAATTATCACGAAATCAACTCCGCTAATTTTCAAAGGGATATCACAGAGAAAGTAATAGAAATAGAAATATTCTATAATTTGCGCTAGGCCTAGCTAATATTTGGTTATTCTTCAACTCTTTTCCGTTTTCTTTTTAGTATTAAAAGTCACTTCGTCTTTAAAGATAAAGAAACTCGATTTGAAGAGAACAGGTCACCGGTCACATCAACCTTTTTTACGAACTGTAATAAATTATTATTATCTCCCAAATTTTGTACCTTTTTGTAAGTGCTGTCAAAATTTCATGAGAATTATTAAAATTTATTTGTTTAAAAGCTAAATTTATTTTAAAAATACAAATTATGAGGAGAGCAAAGACATCTAAACTTCAGAGATGGGATCAGTTGCCTTGGAGGAGTAAGCATTCCCTGTTGAACTGTCATTTCCGCCGTATTTCGTGTTTTCCTTTTGGAGATCGGGCAAATAGAAACAAAGACAGAATGGCCTAAAACACCAGTCAGCTTTTGATTTTTTTTTTTAAATGCATTGTTTAAAAAGTTTTATTTCAAATAAACCCTCTGCGGTCAAATAATTATTTTAAGTAGTATTTGAACAAGAAATGACTATGTTTTTAGTGCATTTTTTTAGTCGGCGGAACATGGAGTTGAAGTACAACTAAATAAGTTTTTTTTTGCGGGGGGGGGGGGGGGCTTCAAATGATAAAATGATTTACATATGGTTAAAGTCTTAGAGTACATTAGAACGAATCAAAAATCATGTTTACACATTAGGGGTATTTTCATACATTTGAAATTTACGCCTGTAAGTAAACATGCACAAGTGAAAATCCTATTGAACATATATTTCAGCTAAATCCCATACAAGATTCTTCATCAATAAACATGAGGAAATTGGAAATTATAGTACCTTTACACTCGTCACGAAGAAGCTCAAATCTGGCATCTTTTGCGTCAGATTCTCTCCGCGGAAGACTTTGGAAATTATTAACATTGAACGGATCGAATCCCCATTTTACTAGAAAACAAAGACAAAATAAAATCATTTTTCCTCATGCATGGGCATTACTTCTAAGTGTGGTATAATATTAAAAGAAAAATATTGAATCTATAAGGAATTTATTTTGATATTGATAAACAGACATGAAAATGTGATTTAAGATTTTTTTAAACATTTTGAATTTATTTCATCGGTTTTATCATGCAAAAGGGCAATACAGTAATGAAAATAAATCTTTCATGAAATATGCGATTTAAAAATTCAATGAATTTTAAAAAAAATTATCCAAGGTAATATTTGTTTTCTGAACAGTAATGTTTATATACATGAAGTAGTAGCCTGTTGCTTGTAAATGGAATATCTAAGTATGTAAATTTTTTTATGTCTGAGCAGAGGAAATATGTTTCCGTTTCCGGCTTACCTCTAAAGTCGTCCCACTCCGGTTTTTCTACAAATATGAAAAGTTAAATGTCTTAAACTGAGACAGCGTTACAGTTTTGATATAGGTTATATAACATTCGATGGATAATTATTATAGTATTCTTTACATAAAAGCACATTTTTGTACATTATGAAAGTCTCCATCGCAGTTCACCTATTTTTCATATGACGGGCTAAAATTGCAAGGGATACAAACTAAAACAGAAATTGAAAACGTTTCTAAAAAATCATATAGATTATAATTTGATAAAATAAAATGAGAATACATACGTTTGAATATATCTGGAAGTTCCCGCGTTTGTCTGAAACAATGGCATATTATGATAAGAGCAGACAGTACGATAAAACGCAGCATCATCTTCAACGAAGAAGAAGAAACTGATTACTGTAGACTTTGTCTGATGTTATTCGTTTCCTGTGCTTATTTCCTAAAGGAAAAACGTAGTTTGTGCAAGTTGTTTTTTACAACTGTTAATTGCTGACAGTACAATTTTTTTAAACATGTTAATTTTACATTGCTAAGTATTCATTTACAAAGTACATTTGTATAAAATTGCATTAATTTCATTACCTTTTCTAAATTTACAATTTTTTTTTTAAAGTTTACATTTTTTTTTAAAGATCCATAGCAAACGACAGGGATGACTAAAATATTTTTTTAAGGAAATCATATCTTTATAGATGTAGATATAAATTTTCAAATTAAGATCAAGTATGCGACTTCATTTATGGACGAGTGTTATATTTTCATAGATGCAACTTTGTCATAAAACGAACATTGAATATGTTCATTACTCTATTTTCGAGACGAAGAGCACAGAAATTTACTAATTAACTTTTTTGGCAAAAACTCATACAAATAGCTTATGAGGTTTACTGATTGTCGTTGTTTTATTAATTAAAACTCAGATGTTAATTTAATTCTTTTTTTATCTTCTTGTATTCCATTTTACCCATACATGTATCACAAGCTATAAAAAAGAAATGCGAGTATTTTATCTGTAGAAAACTATAGATTCTGTTTGATGATAAAGCATTTTATTTTTTTATTCATCTGTTGCTAATTATGAAAATTGATCGTTAAAAAATTCATTTAACAAAACTCGGCAATATAAGAAGTTTTATTGCATGTATATAATGATTTTGATTTTGTGATATGGAGTTTATATTACATGTACTGGTACCTAAAAGACAAGTATTTTTAATTAAGGAACCAATAATTTGCAAAAATAATAGTAAGAGTTAAAAGCATGGTGATGACAATGAACAAAATGGAAGAAAATAGACATCTTTCATATGTAATTTGGCATCGTTGCATGTAATTACCGCCGAGTAGATGAAAGTTATTCCGTATGTACTCTAAGGTAATATAATTTCAAAATTAATTTGCTGTTTCTTTAGATGAAACTTGTGGATATAACGAACAGTATTCAAACTCGAAAGTCCAGTTAACAATGCAAAATAGGAGCAGAGCAAATTTACCTCCAAAACATCAGAGGTGGGATAAGGTGCCATGGAGGAGTGAGCATCCCCTGCCGACCGGTCACACCCGCCGTGTGCTCCTTGTCATGATCGGGAACTTCAGTCAGCATTTGATTCAATGATAAACTGTATTTGCTGACCCTGTCATTGTATCGACCAAAGAACTTATGAAATGATGACTTTAAACGAAACTGCTGATATTCTTGTTCCATCAACTTGATTGTCAATAATTTACTTCGTTTACGAAAGTGTTCATACGTAGAACATGCTCTTGCGCATCGAATCAACTGAGAAACAAAAACTTCGTATGCAGATGATGAAGGTATATTGCTGCATACGGGAAGTTGACAAAAGAAAAGTTAAAGTCATAACGTTTATCATAGAACTTGGTTGTTAGATTACCATTAACGTCTTTTTCAAGTAAAATATCCTTATATGAAAAGTTGTGTAAGACTCTATGGTATCTTTTATCTCAAGCTCACCAAGATTTATCGTAAAAATTAAATGGAGTATCACCGTTTAAATTAATATGTTTTGCAGTTGCCGATCTGTAATTTTTGGGTGAATAAGTTGGTAGAAATATGTTTGTTTGTCTTTGTGTTTATATAGACTTTAGTTGTCATATATTGTCAGATTTCGTTTGTTTATCACAGTCATAGGGATTTGATGGTTTGGAGCTCCGTGTTTGCTCTGCTCCTATTGTGTATTGTTTTATGGACGATTGAGCCTGAATACTGTTCGTTTTCTCTATATATTTATTCGTGATTAGATTAATTAAACTCAATTTTAATCTAAATATGTTGTTCATGCATATCATATCTTTTTCTAAGTCATTAACCACCTTTGTGCAAAAAAATCATCTGGTTGAAATCATTAACCCCAAGTTATGTCCTTTTGTTTTTATCATAGAATACCACAGTCAGATTAAATTTTTCGGTATAAGCGTGTCAATGAATTCACATGAATTTGTGAAGAAATAATATATTAAAGTTTTCAATTATTAAAGCACAAAAATTTATGACCCGGTTAAAAACCTCCTGATTGTACAAATTAATGATATTATTAATATTTAGATTTCTATCTTTATTGAAACCATTTCTCATGTTAGGAAGTATGTACTTTATTCAATTTATTTTATTTCCCCGATAAAAAGTATGAACAATTATTACTTTTGAAAGACAAATATTTTGTTGACTTTTTTTATATTACTTCATGGAGGAATATTTTTTATGCACGCAATGTGTTCTACCGCTTAAATGATTATTTAAGAATAAATGACATGTATATGTTTACTTACAATCCTTCCTTGTAATTTTATTTTTTACTAAAGACAACTTTCCGTAGTAAGTTCCTGACTAAAAACAAAGCAAGGTCAAAACAGTTATCTCTTCTAACGGAGTGAAATTTATAGTTTGATACATGGTATTGTTCTGAGTCCAACTAATGCATCTGGCCTGGGGGCAAAAAAGTTAGACGAGCCCACTTTTGGTCTCAGTCTCACTTTTCCACTATATATTCCTTTGGTAAAAGTGAGACTGAGATCAAAATTGAGTTCGTCTAAGTTTTATGGCCCCCAAGCCTGGTCTTTCTTCACAAAATCAAGTCAGAATCATTTTCTATTGCAAGGGTAGAATTCTGTAATTATATTCCAAGTCGTAAAATGAGTACGAATTTTATAATTTCCAGTTGAAATATGTACAATTTATGAGATCGTAGTGTATTTAGTTAAAATACGATAAAAGTTTAACTTGTCGGCAGAGAATGTTTTCTTCTCCATGGCACCTGATCCCATCTCTAATGTTTTATAGGTCCGTGTTTACTCTGCTCCTGATTTATATTAATAATGTTTTGAGTTTGAAAACTGTTCATTGTCTCAATATATTTCATGTACAAAGAAAACATCTCACAAATATTTATATTCAGAAAATTTACTTATTTACTTATATTTTGAAATAGAGGCTTACCTTGTCTTTTAAATAAATTATGCTTGTATGAATAGAGATATATTGCTACTTTACTTAATTGTTATTTTTTGGATTATCAGATTCATAATCAGTTTTAATAGGATTGATGAAAGTAAAATACCTAATTATGATTAACAACTTTTGCATGAGAAAATAAAAGATGCATAATTTGGACCTTACCTCGATATTTATATATACCATCGATGTTTCCTTTATTTAAAAAACAAGGGTTTTCCATGCAAAAATTTACTTGATGTATAACAGTAAACCAAAATTATTAAAATAACACCACGGGGTCTTACACATCTGTTTCATATTTTTTTTTTATTTCAGTGCTAGAATACCTAAAATCTATCATTTTTGACAGATAAGATGACACAGATTTTATACCTCGTCTTAATTATAGATAGATTTTTTAAAACAAGCAATGATCAAGAAAATAACGTTTAGAGTATATAAAAAAAAATTATAGGATCTACACTTCCAAACTACGAATATCTCAGCAATACAAATCTGTCAACAAAGCATAAAAACGGGTCTAAGGTATTATAGAGATGGATTAAGAGCCTAGAAGGAATGACCATCCTCTGACGACTTAAAACATCCGCCATGACCTCAATATAACAACCGACCCCTAATCAATGTATTGAGCTATAATTAAGGCGAAATATAGAAAATACTTATTCATTATTAAACAAAATGTGTTTCTTAGAGTTTTGCTTATAAACAATTTACATAAGCCGATAAAATCTATAATCTGTTTGTTTCAAACGTGTTTAAAAGAGTCCACAAGAATCAAGATAACCAGTCAAACATTAAATGCATGGTTATATAAAACAACCATGTACATTGCACCTATAAAAAGGAAGGAACAAATATACATTTAGAGTATAAAACAATTTCTTCGTTAAAAATATTCTAATTCTACATACACGTACTCTGAAGTCAATATTGAAGGTTGAAACATTTATTGAGTCTTTGGACAAAGTGTTCCAATGACCTGTTGGACTTTCGATGGGCAGTGATTGAGTTCCTTTATCAGTCGAGGTGTTTTCATATTCGTCCATTCAAAATATTTTACATTAGAAGAAAACAACACTTCAAATATTTCGTCGATGTCATACCCATTTACAATCATAATTACTTCCATACTTATGTCGATTCTCTTTCTCTCAAATCATAACGATTTTTCTGTGGTTTAAACTGGTTTAATTAAAATTCAAAATTATGTCAGTGACCTTATAAAAGCTCTTTAGGTTTCTGGGACAATCAAGTCAATGACATTTCTTAATCTCTTTAAAGAAAATATTATTATTTGTCATGATGTCGAATTGGAAAAAAACATAAACTTATAGATCTGATAAAAGATCCAATGAATTTCCATTATGTTTAGAAGATCTAATCTTAATTGAAGCAGCTCTGTGCGTGCTGATGGAGTATTGATATTAGTCTTTATTACTTTATTATCCTTGGTAAAAAGAATGTGCTTTTTTATACATGACACAAGAAAAAAATTTTAAAGATAAATCTTTCACTTTCCAGTGTACCACAAACGTTAACCGGATCTTAATTAGGTGAGAATCTCTCTCTCTCTCTCTCTCTCGGACACGTAAACACACATGTCCTCAGGAAAACTGACTCACAGAAAATTTGAAGAAACTATAGATTAAAGAAAAAGACATTATATATGATCGTAAAATTCAGTTAAGACAATACATCAGATGTTGGCAATTCATCATCTTGGGAAAAAAATGATCATTTTCTTCTTAAAAAAACCTTCCGCCACAAACTAAAGTTCCTAGGTTGATTCTACTTGAATGGAATTTAATCGCAGTTTTTTCATTGAATATAGTTCAATTTGCACTGTAGAATTTAGATTTAATGTAAGAACTTAAAAATGATGCAGAATTTTATAAATAGGACCACAATCCGTTCAAAAGCTCAGGATCGAAGGTCTTAAGGGATAATGAATTAATGCATTAATATCCAGACTTATTATCTGTTTAGAATAATAAAAGGTATCAAGCAGTGATCGATATCAAAAATCTATAATCAATTTATTTAATACACGTGAAAAAGGATTTCAACACGTACTTCTTGAAATTTAAAATGAGATGAGGTCTTGGGAGGAAAATGCGTCCCCTGTTGACCAAACACAGCAGACGTGAGCCCTGTGCTTGATCAAGTAGACGTATTATTCTGTACATAGTCAACATAAGTATAAAACGGCCAAACTATTGATTAATTTGAAAATAGTAAACCAAAATACGACACATTCACAGGATATGTTTGCGCATAAAGTCATAAAAACTATAGGATTTAGGTAATACGTACTATAAAAGAGGAAGCCTGTTACATCCACTTATATGTCATAATCCTACCTTGGGTTTAAGAATTGATCGTACTCGGGGTATGTTCTTGAGAATCGAATAAGTTTGTAGACATAAACATTGTATGCAGATCGCAGCAGGATATTATAAGTACTTTATAATGGAAATTATATTGTATATGGAAATGTGCGCCGCACAAGATCTTTCTGTATATACGGGTTACAAATGTCTTTATATGATAACAGACGCCATACACATTTATAAAGTTAGAAATTATGTTAAAAGTTGTCAGCACATGCACTCTAAGTATAATTCACTAGAACCGTGTACTACAAAAATCCCCCAGTAGCCTAACTAGTAAAGGGAAGGCTGCTAGAGGACTGTGCAGCTCATATGGTCAGTGTCTGTTCGTGTGTGTCTGACTTCTCTTTGTTATACCGATAAAAATTTCTTTAAGTTCCTATTTAAGGTTTAGAATAAACAGATTTATTTTAAATTTTGTCAATCAATGCAGATTACATTTTGTTCCAATTTAATCCCACTGTGGGACGTGGAGATTTTTTACCCATCTTTTTTTTTTAGAAAACATTAATTTTTTTTTTTATATTTTTATTAACTCAAGTTTATCACGGCCATGATTCGAACACACCACCTTCTGATTACGTCACAGAATTGGGGCTGAATTTCTAACGTCAAAATATCACTTTCTGAGGTTATTACATACGTCGTTTAAGCGTAAAAACGTAAAAAAAAAAAATTAAGGCGAAACAAATAAGACTAGACATCCAATTTTTGCATTTCTTTTCCGAAAAATGTCTAATTCTTTAGTGTTTCTTAAAATGCAACATTTATATTTATATGCACATTTTAAAAATAAGATTTTATCTGTAAAAACTTTTTCCATTAAAAAGAAAATACAGCTTACATTTATGATATACGTCCCGTTAAGGCCATAATGAATAAATTGCTAGATTCTCATCCGAATTTTTTTAAAAATCAAGGCGGGCGGGCGGCTTTTATTTTATATTTTTTCAATTCTGCAGATTTTTTATTGACCTGGTCAATCAGTGTAATTTTATTTACAATACCCGCATAAAAGTCATAGTAAAGGTTCAATTATCTCTTACTTCACATCATCACCGAGCTTTTTCAACCAACGACCCTTGTTTAAAATATATACGCATGTATTACAGCAATTACCATCTTTTCAGCTGTCAAAATCATGTCGACTTTCGCGGAATTTAAAACGAAAGTAGAATGGTAGATGAATACCGATCCCGATAAGAATTAATAAGAAGAAAAACAGAAATAAAAAAAATCGAGGCGGGGGTGTAAAATCGGGGCGGGCGGGGATGAGAATCTAGGACTATTTTTATTATGGCCTAAATATCATCATAGTACATATATTTCTATCGTAGTAACAAAACCGACTAGACATCAAAATTGCTCTATCAATCTCTCCTATTACTTGCTAATAGATTTTTAAAGAAACATTTGACTGCTCTTTGATTTGCACATTTCATTTATCACTTCAGTTTTACGAAAAGAACCTGTTATACATGTATAGTAAAAAATCTTTACCAAACATTCCATCTTTTCTTGTTACATCATCACAAGACGTTAAAAAAGATTGGTACAAAATGGTAGAAAAATCGATGTAGCCAAAACGATAAAATGTCCAAAAATTCTAATGCCTGTCGTTTAATACAGTGTTACAAGTTACGCAATTTAAAACCCCAATACTATGCGCGACGTCGGAGCGATCGAGCGCTTTACTTATTGAGCTGCTGTGAGGTCAGAAGTTGATGTTAAAAAGAGTTTCTGGTTGACAATATGTATGTAGTTTTTGAAGAGAAGGGTTTCCAAAAATCTGAACAGACCTAGTTTTCGTATGAAGGATTTACACAAAAACCCTTGCTGTGCACTTCAACTCGATTATTATATCGACGACACATTTTCTTTTTTTTTAAAGGTACAGTTTTTATTTTCCTATGTTGACTCCATTTATCCATGTGAGCTTAAGGTATACATTTACTCAGATGAATAAAAATACTCCAGTGATTAGAACGAAAAACCAACTACTGCGCATTTTACACCTATGATTTTTGTGTTAAATTTCCATTTCAAATAAGTAGGTTAATGACCTACTCTTTATGCTAGTGCCACTAGTAGTGGCCCCTGAGTATTTTTGGGAAAATACCTCAATTTTTCACACTATGACCAGTTTTTCCTTTACTCACAAAACATAATAAGAAACAAAACTCTTTAACTAATGAAATATTATAGGAACGAAACAGCGTTGCTTCGTATACATAAGTGATTAGAGTTTGGTCTATAAATGTTTAATCTATTACATTCCGAAATTCCTCTGTCATATTTCTATTTTTTTCTCCATTTTTAATCGAATATTATAACAATTTGAATGGCAAGACTCTAAATTATTCATAGCATAAGATTACTTGTGTTGCCCTTTTTCTAATGGTATTAACATTATATGAGGTTACTGATCAATTTATTGAGCTATGTTGTCTGAAACGGTTTTGTTCATTTTTTTAACTTATTTATTCATAGCATTCAATTATTTGAAATAATTAGTGAGCTTTAATGCACATAATATTTGCAAAGTGGTGTTTTAAAATACATTTAACTTTTACATTGTTGATATTGCAAGAAATAATCCATTTTGACAAAAATAAAAAATTAGGTCCGAATTTCCTCTGTATCACCATGCATTAACTTTTGTTCCTGTACATTTTCTTCAAAAAATAAGATATTGAATTTTAAAATTAATTGTAAGTCTCAAAACTCTGTTATATCATCCATTTAGAACAATTAATTTTTGATTTAAAATAACATACTTCATTAAGACATCTCTTAGAAATCTGGATAATTTTCAAGAAAAAAATTTGCATGTTACCTAACATGAATTTAATGAGTTCAACGTTTCAATGGTTAACTTCCCTTACGTATGTGGCGAAATACATGTGCATAATAAACTACATTTCAGATTTCATTTTCTCAGTCGAGTCGACATGTTAAAGCATGTTCTTGTGTAACAAAATTATGAAGAAAAAAACACGCCTTTGACATAAAGTTGATGAAACGAGGATATTAACAGTCTCGTTTGAAATAATAATTTCGCAAGTTTAATGGTGGATATAATTAGCTTTGTCAGCACATGCAGCGTATATTTAAGTCAAATAGTAACTGACATTTTTCAGGCTTGTTGTTGGGCCCCCCCCCCCTTATTTCACAGTTATAATAATGAGCATACGGCGGGTTTGACCCGTCGGCAGGGGATGCCTACTCTGCAATGGCATCTGATCCTACCTCTTAAGTTCTAGCTGTGTTTGCTTCACATTGAGCATGAATATTGTTCGTTATCTTAATATTTCAGTCAAATTGATGAGCAATATCAACATATATTTTATAACAATAGTTTTATTTTTTCACTTTTTAGAACAGACAGCACAGACAAGTTCTCTTCCCTCAACATACGGAGGGCATTTCAATGAACCACAACGACCTTCTACAAAATAAAAAAGGTAGCCATCTTTATTAACATGGCCGCCATGCAAGGTGTCTGGATTCTCGTCAACACACTTGTACGTTGTACTAGCTGCGTGATCATAGTACCCAGCCATTAGATATCCCCAGTACTCGAGTGTCCAACCTTTGTAACAATTTTTCCTTGCTGAAATAAAATATAATGATATTGTTCTTAATAAAATTACTTTGAAATCTATTAAATTTTGGTAACATACAAAAGTCGTAAAAATGAGAAGTGCCCAAAAATATTGAGTTAATGTTCTTTTTACATAATTCTTTAAGCAGAGTGAAGAATACTCTCGAGCGATATATAACTTATAAATGATAAAAGATGATAAGGTATATCCGGGACCTATAGGCAACTTCTTCATCGCCATGTTTATTTACCCAAAACATCATGCACAACACTACAAGTTTTTCAAACTACGTTTATTCGCAGTAAATAGAGTGCTTTCTGATTAATATCATTTATTTCTTTTATGAATATGAATTGATTTTTAATTAATTTCAAATCATAAATTATAATTAATATAAATGAAATATAAAGAAAACAAACACCGAAATCAGCGATTTCTCGGGAATATGGCCGATCGGGGCATGTGCTGTTTTTGAATAAAACAAAATTAATACCAAGATAAGGAGTATAATCCATGCTAAAAATAAATCTTGAAGAATTTTTTGACAGATTATTAAAGGTTTTGATCTAAAATATGCTATAGAATTAGAGATATACATAGTTAAAGTTGGCTTACGAAATCCAACGACTTACGAGATATCGCGAGACTTGCGATAGTTGCCTATCCCGTTAGTATATCATGGTATATAGGTCCCTGGAGATATATATATATATATATATATATATATATATATATATTATATATATATATATATATATATATATAGAAAGCACAAAGAAATTCACTTTTACATGGATACCCACTTCCGCCCCAGCCCGGGGTTGAACTCTCGACCTTCGGAATCTGTCTCCTAGCAGTGCAGGAACAGCGCGCTAGACCGCTCGGCTATCTAGGCAAGTTAAAAAACTTGTTTTCGATGCCGATGGAATTCTCGCGGCGCTGCCTACACGGCCATTGAGAATAGAAGTGAGATACAGTTATTTGGACATTAGTTTTAACATAGGATTGTTACCAATACATGTTGTAATGAAATTAATTATTATTTATAAAGCACATTTTACAACAACTCTTAAACTAACATAACTGCCCTAAGTGAAGAAATATTAATATAGAAAGCACAAAGAAATTCACTTTTACATGGATACCCACTTCCGCCCCAGCCCGGGGTTGAACTCTCGACCTTCGGAATCTGTCTCCTAGCAGTGCAGGAACAGCGCGCTGGACCGCTCGGCTATCTAGGCAAGTTAAAAAACTTGCTTTCGATGCCGATGGAATTCTCGCGGCGCTGCCCTACACTACACGGCCATGGAGAATAGAAGTGAGATACAGTTATTTGGACATTAGTTTTAACAGAGGATTGTTACCAATACATGTTGTAATGAAATTAATTATTATTTATAAAGCACATTTTACAACAACTCTTAAACTAACATAACTGCCCTAAGTGAAGAAATATTAATATAGAAAGCACAAAGAAATTCACTTTTACATGGATACCCACTTCCGCCCCAGCCCGGGGTTGAACTCTCGACCTTCGGAATCTGTCTCCTAGCAGTGCAGGAACAGCGCGCTAGACCTCTCGGCTATCTAGGCAAGTTAAAAAACTTGCTTTCGATGCCGATTGAATTCTCGCGGCGCTGCCCTACACTACACGGCCATTGAGAATAGAAGTGAGATACAGTAAAATGTGCTTTATAAATAATAATTAATTTCATTACAACATGTATTGGTAACAATCCTCTGTTAAAACTAATATCCAAATAACTGTATCTCACTTCTATTCTCAATGGCCGTGTAGTGTAGGGCAGCGCCGCGAGAATTCCATCGGCATCGAAAGCAAGTTTTTTAACTTGCCTAGATAGCCGAGCGGTCTAGCGCGCTGTTCCTGCACTGCTAGGAGACAGATTCCGAAGGTCGAGAGTTCAACCCCGGGCTGGGGTGGAAGTGGGTATCCATGTAAAAGTGAATTTCTTTGTGCTTTCTATATTAATATTTCTTCACTGAGGGCAGTTATGTTAGTAAAATGTGCTATATATATATATATATATATATATATATATATATATATATATATATATATATATATATATATATATATATATATATATATATATATATATATATATATGAATTTAGATTAAAAGAAATGTCAAAATATTTTCAGGACAGAGCATGTCAAATTAAGTAAGGTTTTGAAATGTTTTCAAGGATTTGCCAGCAAACAGGAACGAAATCTGATTTATTTAATTTTGCTCTTTGCCCGAGATTAGCACATAACGTTTCGTAGTGTAGTTCTACTTTCCACTCGGCGGGCAGAGTTTTGACGCTGTTTACGGAGATTAATGAAAACAAAGTCATACATGCCGTATATGGTTGTGTAGATAAATTATCGTAGGAGACAATGGTAATAAAAAATTGCCAGTGCATTTCATCTAAAAGTGTAAATGAGTGCGTTTCTGAGGAGAGGGGTGCTAATTAATTGGAATTCGGAGTTAGATACCTTGTGTTATTATTTTACTATGAGTTAAAAAATTATTTCCGAAACAAGTGCCTGTGGATAAACGTGACAACTTTAACTTTTCTCTCGTCAACTTCCCTTACTTATGCAGCAATATACCTTCATCACCTGCATACGGAGTGTATATATCTCAGTTGATCCGATATGCAAGAATGCTCTACGTATGAACAATTTCTTAAACGAGGTAAATTATTGAAGAGCAAGTTGATGAAACAATAATATCAGCAGTCTCAGCAGTCTCGTTTAAAGTCATCATTTCCCAAGTTTTATGGTCGATACAATGACCTTGTCAGCAAATACAATTTATCATTGAGTCAAATGCTGACTGACGTTTTTCATACCAATTGTTAGTCCATTATTTATACACCGAATTGACGACGGATTTTTCCGTTATTTCACGATCTTTACAATAAGCACAGGGCGGATGTGGGATGCTCACTTCTCCATGGCACCTGATCCCAGCCTCTGATGTTTCAGAGGTCCGTGTTTGCTCTGCTCTTGTTTTGTATTGTTTTGTGGACTTTGATATTGAATACTGTTCGTTATCTCCATATCCTTCATTGCTACCTTTCTTTTCGGACACCCTGTAGTAATAATGAAATTTTTCTCACCTGGAAACATTTGAACAGTTGATCTATTTTGAACAAGACACACAGCACATGGGACATCATGATTGTGCAGGGAAGTAAAGTGACTTGTAAAGGTTTCTGTTTCATACTCAGCTCCATATACGTAAGCCTTAACTCCTTCACTTCCATCCCTATAGATCCCCCACTCTGGATCCCTCGGTAAACAAAGAGGATCTACAGCTGCTCCTTTATGTGTAGAATAGGATCCTCCGACGAATCCTATCAATTGTTCTCAAACTTTGTATAACTTTTTCTTAATTACAAGTAATATGAATCAATTTAATAATTAATTGATCAATTAATTTAATTCAATGATTAATCAAACTATCTACTTATTGGTTTTCTGTAGCCAGAAGAATTTAAAAAAAAAATTCTTGTAAAATATTGTTTTCTTAACGTACTCCAAAAATGTATATTAAGTTATTCACCTAAATCAACCTGATTAAGATTAGATGTTAGATCCGCTGGCATACTCGCTAGGTTAGTGCAGCGAGTATGCGAGCGGATTTTATGTCTAATTTTAATTAGATTGTCACCTGAATAAACCAATTTTGCGTTTGAAGGACACCTTTTCTTTCCCCATCTTGTATACATAATGTCTCTATTTCTGATACCTATCAAAGAAAACTTTTATTTCTTTTTTGAATGCAAGGAATGATAATAATAAATAGACACTGTCCATATATAGATTTTAGTCTTACTTCCTTCCTGTATGCTTGCATTCACTTTCTCTTTAAACTTTTTCATTGATTCCCCAATGACGTCAGTGAAGTTTTTGAATTCCCGTCTTAAAGCTTCCACCTGATATACTCCCAGAGCAGACGAAAGTTGTTCTGTTAGATAACCTTGTAACAAGTCTTTACAACTTCCGGTCTGTGTCCGTTCTCCATGCGTCGTGTGGAGAATGAAAACCAGGACAAGATATACACACAGTGCCATAATCTTTAGAAAAAAAGTGTAAAACACTATAAATAGAAAAGCACTATCAAAATAGACATCTCAAGATGATCATGTAAGTTTGAAGCATGTGTAGCACAGCCATATTTTTCTCTTGAAAAAAATGGTAGTAGTACCTTGGTACGAAAATATACTTGTCAAAATTTCTAAGTCCCCACTTGAATTTTTTCAAAAAGTTAAAAACCTTAACTTCAATTTACTAGTTGCTTACAAATTTGCCTTTAATTTGTAATACTTACTTGTCAAGGCCAAAAAAATTGTAATCAAATGTGTAATTACTCGACCGTGACCGTTTTTGTTAAAAGGCATGAAGTTCGAGTTCCGTATGTTTTTCGGGTGTATTCTTTATATTTCTTACTTCCATGTATTCTCCATCTTTTATTGATAACGAAAAACAGAAAAAAGCTCGAATAAAATGCGGTGTATGTCCACACAGCAATGGGCAAGTTAAGTTAAAATGGCCCAATTTGGTCGTAGTTAACGAAAGTTATGTTTCCTTTTACTGTATGACTTTATTTTACTTAAAACCTTTATAATTTTCGCCCGAAAAACCTACAAAGCATACCCAAATTCCTTTTAATCGTTAAAAATCGCTAGATTTTCAACAAACACCACAAAAGCATCCTAGAGTTTATCCGGAAAAATCAATGGAACCGGAACCGGAAGTGCCCTCCCCTCAATGTCAAAATGGAGGAGTGGGGAATACAAGTAAAAAGACGTTATGTAACTATTGTTGTCAAGGCACAGACAATTTCGATAAGCCCCCTTGTCATCCTAATCTCAACCCTAATTAGCAAGTATGGAAGAAGATAGACCGGGGAGTGAGACAGCTTGTCCAGCAGCAGAATCAGGCGGAACTAGAGGACGATCTAGTCTCCACATGGAAAAACACGCAATAAAAGAATTTTTCTTAAATAGTGTGAACTCTTTGAGGAACGGTTGTCTTGCTGTGAATTCGTTTGAATGGAGAATAATACAGTGTTTACCGTTGTGAATTTTTAATTCTAGGGTGCCTTAACGTTTCTACATATTGTGTTTAAGTTCTTCAATAAAACAAATTAAGTGAGAAAAATTGTTTTTGCTACTTTATTATCCTGTATACTAATAAATTATATTGTTAAAATAATTAAATATAAGAGCGGTGAAAAGCAAAAACTTGCCTGGGGACTTAGAAATTTTGACTAGTATATTTGAACAAACACTTTGCTCAACCATATGTGATCTTGTTTAAACTGTAATGGTTTTCGAAAAGTAATGTAGTTTAAGTAAAAACGAAGACAATTTAAAATAGCTTGTGGGGCAGAATAAATCAGCTTGGTAAATTCTAAAGGATTAAAAAAACATTTTAATTTGTCGTTAAGAATTAACTCTCATCATATTATCGATGAACCTTAAATCTTACCTTAGCTATAGATATTCTTTCACATGAGGAATTTTTTTAAAAATGTACCTACATATTTATTGTCAATCAAATATAATAAATTTGATATGATGATGAACATCTGGTATTGACTTTAAAGGGAAACACAAAAAAGGAAATTAAAATGTAACTTAACACCTATGTGATGTTGTTTGTGTTTCATGTTATCACCTTTAATTTGGAAACATTTTGTGTTTATAACTTATTATGCAATGATTTCAGAATGTCTTGCAATTGATAAGTTACAAATGAAAATATCTAATGATTAGAAGCACGAGAAACCATATTTGAATATTTTCAAAATAACTGTCAAAATATATTTTCAATATCATATTATAAATTATTTATTCAAATGCATTAAGCTTTAGTCACTTATTATTTCAATGTACTGGAAATCAATTTTTCGCAAGAGATTTATTAAGTTTACCTAATAACGCGAATAATTTTGTTAAGCTCATCAAGAGCCAATGACTATTTCGCGAAAATAAGATGTCCCGGAAATTTAATGATCACATAAGTTAAAGCTTTTCTTGGAATTTTTTGGATCTTGAAAAGAAACTTTTAAAAGATTTTTTCCAATATATATCTATGTAAAAATTTGATTCCTTATTTTGTGGCCCCGCCGAATCCCGGTGGCCATGATTTGTACAATTTAGAATCTACACAACCCCTGGATGCTTCCACATATGTTTCAGCTTCTCTGGCCCAGTGGTTCTTGAGAAGAAGATTTTTAATAACCCCACCCTATTATTATTTTTTTCTTGATTATCTACCTTTGTGAGAGGACCTGGCTCTCCATTTTAATAATCTAAATCCCCTTGCTTTATACCAAGTTTGGTTAAAATTGGCCCATTGGTTTTTGAGAAGGAGTCGAAAAAGTGAAAAGTTAACAGACGGCCAGACGGACAGCTAGACAGAAAGAAGGACGGACGACGGACAAAATGTTATCAGAAAAGCTCACTTGAGCCTTCGGCTCAGATGAGCTAAAAAAACCGACGTAATGATGAACGAGTTAATAATTTTTCCAAACAAAATAAGGTGGCAGAGGATAGTTTTTTTTGCAATCAAAACGTTTGAGTGACGGTTTACTTAATATTGAGCTGCTTTAAAAATGTGCATTGAAAAATTTTTAATTCCCTCTACATGTAATAATAGTATGAAGTAGTCCCTTGAGAAATTTGAAGCTTTTAGGAATAAAACATGTACAACTTACAGAATGAGCCCTAAAGATGGCGCAGGGACAATCTCAAAATTTCATGTGAATCAAGCCTATTTTCACTATTTCGCCGCAGCTGCATCTGCTTCCAGGCCCGTGCGCCTGACCCAAGCTACCACACAAATTGCAGAATAACATTTGTACATACCAATGAACAGCAAGAGATAATGGCTCAACCACCTCGTTTTCAAGCTACAATTCATCCTGTGAACCCACCCCGCTTTTCTGGTGAAATACCGGTAGAGCGAGTTTTGAGCTTAGTTTCGTATTTCTAGTCCATATCCCATATACAGTAGTAGTGACACTAAAGTGTCATATTTCAATAAAATATACAAGGCCACCAAGTCCCTCCAAATGCACCCATAAAATATTCTAGCTATAAAATTACCTATAATATGCATTCAAACCTCAGGTTTCTCTATTTTTTCTATTTTTTGACCGGTACTTTATTCGAAACTATCCTCTGCCACCTAAATAGGACCAGGACCACAATTAGCTTACATATAGACTTATTAAGTAAAACACGTGTTTTATTTTCTTTGTAACTTTCTAAAAAATCTTTACTTCCAAAATATCTTTGACCACATGATAGAGCAATGTGTCAGATAAAAATAGGGGTGTTGAATGTGGAATTCCCTGTTTATTAATAAACTTCTGACGTCATGACCTCAGGATAGCTCTCGCTTGGCAAAAAATAGTGTAAACAAACCAAATGAATGCTCTTTTCAATTTATATTTCTAGGCATAATTTTTGCTTGAAATGCACATTGTTGCATATCATTGTTAACTTTAGACACTATACTTTTATATAAACCCAAAAAGTATCTAAAACATGTGAGCTATTTTTATTTTTATCATTGAAAGGGAGGCATAGGAATTTCCTTCATGTGCTACATTTTAGCCATTTGACCTTCACCCTTTAATTGTGGCCCGGATCCTATATAGACTGGCTTGCCAGTCTGATCCTGTGAGAGGCAGGAACTGCCAGTCTAACAAAAATAGACTGGCTTGCCAGTCTGATACTCGAGACAGGAACTGCCAGTCTACAAACAAAACTTCTCTTTGCACAAGTTGCGAACGAAAAAATATTATTTAACTTTATTTTGTAAAATATAATGGCCGGTGAATTCTCTGACCACACTGTGGTGATAAAATGGATGTTACACGATTGGAGTGATAAAGAGTACATACTAAGTGTGGAAAAAGATGGCACGGTGGCAGACCTAAAGAAAAAGATAAAAGATGCAATCGGTCTTCTCCCAGAAAGACAGGAATTATGCGGTTTAAGATTAAAAAACAAGACGAAAAGAATCCTCAGTGGTGGTAAGATAGGATTTTTTTTTCTCTGTATCACAATAAGTGATATATGCTGCAGTCTTGCAGACTATCCGAAAATCATCGATAAATACTTTACATAGTTGCTAATATTTAGTTCTTCAGAGAAAAGAAGAGCTTATGCGATAGTAAAACGTCCGTCGTCCGTCTAGCTGTCTGTCTAGCTGTCTGTCTGTAAACATTTTTTTTTCAAAATGCTACTATATACTCCTCCTACAGTTTTGGTCGGATTTGAACTTGGCGCACAAGTAGACTACACTAAGATACATCATTCTTTATATCGGTTTTTGATTTCGATGAACGGTGCATCTTCGCTAGCCAAGGGTTTCTGATACGCTACTCTCCTCATAAACCCTTGGCATACGGTGAAGTCAAAAGACGGGATTGTTTTTCGTCACGTGATCTCAAATCTATCAGGAACGCACAGATTGCGTCATCGCCAGAAATAAAGACACGTTAAAAAAATTAAATCAAAGTTTTTTTCAACATTAATTAAGAAGCAATAATTGAGTTATGTTTATTCATTATTTATAGAACAAATCTGAAGCTTCAATATAAATTCTTAATCACATATTTAGAAGATATTGGATGACACCATGGCTATTCATAGAATTAAATGTTATCGTACAAATCGTTGTTTTCTTGCGTTTTTCATTTACCAGATTAAATAGTGAAGAAATATCCCGAACGTAAATATCGTCATTTACAAAAAAAAAAACAATTCAACCTGGGTGTACTGAAATCTACGGTGGCTGGTATAGGACATGGTATGAGAATTTTTTTTTTATTAATTCGTGGCCAGGAAATCATAATTCGTGGGAACGAAATAAAAAATCGTGGCCACGAAATAAAAATTCGTGGGAACGAAATAAAATTCGTGGCCACGAAATAAAAATTCGTGGGAACGAAACAAAATTTGTGGGAACGAAATAAAAATTCGTGGCCACGAAATAAAAGATAAAGAATCTAGTGTATTGACAGATCGGGTTCGTAATTGAGATGTGTCCATAGACGCGCACACGGATCTGCAGACAAAAAGCTGAGTATACATATTATTTACAATAGCTAAGATTATGTCCAGTGCATTTTTTTAAATGTATTTCACACATTTATTGCTAGATGTTTCAATAAATAAAATGTACTTGTAAGGCTTGTTTAGTCAAACACTCAATGTTTATTTATTTAACAATTAGTGGCAGAATAGGCCCCTATTATCGGGAACGTGACATCTTAAAAATTAGAGCAATATTCATATATTGTCACGATTGTTTTCACATAAAACTCAACTGTTTAAGACAAATGAAAGTGTGTTTACTTCAAAAAAGGTACATGTAATTGTTAAGGCATTGCTTGACATACAAGAGAAGAAGCTAAATATGACATTATATAGCAGAAAATTTATTTCGTGGTCACGAATTTCATTTCGTTCCCAAGAATTTTATTTCGTGTCCACGTATTTTGTTTCGTGTCCACGAATTTTATTTCGTGTGCACGAATTTTATTTCGTTCCCACGAATTTTTATTTCGTGGCCACGAATTTTATTTCGTTCCCACGAATTTTATTTCGTGGCCACGAATTTTTATGTCGTTCCCACGAATTTTATTTTGTGGCCACGAATTTTATGTTGTGGCCACAAATTTTTATTTCGTTCCCACGAATTTTATTTCGTGGCCAGGAATTTTTATTTCGTGGCCACGAATTAATCAAAAAAATTCTCATACCATGTCCTATACCAGCCACCGTAGAAATCCAATCAGAACTCTGGATAAAAATCCCGATTTCTATGAACACCGTAGGCCAAGGGTTTATGAGGAGAGTAGCGTATCAGAAACCCTTGGCTAGCGAAGATGTGAACGGTGTTGCAGTGGTAACTAAAAATAGCTACTGTCTCGACAGAGACTTCTGGTTTTCAAAATATTTCTGTTTATACAAACTGGTTTTTGCTGATGTTTCTTTATCTTCTTATTTTTATTTATTTATTCATTTTTTTTTTTTTGCAAATGGCAGACAAATATTCCTAGTAGTACTAAGTATAAATTGAAGTTGTCTTAATACAGATATGTATTAACTAAAATATATTTTCATTCATAAGCATAGGTTAGGTAACTTTTATTTAATTTGACATTTAAATTAAAATTCAAACAATTGATCATAAAATAAGATATTGGTTATTGAGGTAAAGATTTTTCTGAAAAATAGTGTTATCTTTACCTCAGAAACTTTACAATCAAAGAACAAGAACTTGGTTGAAATATGAAGGAATCTGGGAGTGTTGCACTACAAGACGGCAGCTAAGGGGAATATCTCTTAGGCAAAATATGTTAAAGGAAAAGGGTCTATAGATATGGCACAGTAAAAAGAATTTTACACCAGTATGCAAATATTAGTAAATATGAAAAATGTTTTGCATCCTTTGGCTTATATTGTACACACAATAATTCAGTGGAAAATTTCAACCCTGAAAGAGAAAACATATTAATGTAATATATTACAAATTCCTTATACATTTAAGCAATATAAATCATATTTTTTTAAAGATGTAGTCTCATAGCTGCAACGGTATATGCAAACAAATTGAGTAATGCACATTATGAAAATTTGTTTGCACATACTGTTGCAATTATGATACTGTATCTCTCAAAAAATATTGATTCATTGCCTATATTTACATTTTTAACTCTTTCACTTACCTGCAAATAATGTGAGCGTAATTTTGATTTTCACTTGTGACGTACGTAGCACTTCCACACCGTTCAAGGATTGTGACGTACGTCAGCATAAAACGCATGCATGCTTTAACATTTTGACCCCCTTTCTGTGTTATGGTGTTTTGAATGCCATAGATTTCCATACACTTTATATATGAGAAAATTTAAACGTCTAATGTAAATAATTGCTAATAATATATGTAGTATATTTAAGAATTTATTATAGGTTATCCCCATCTGCTATAATCCTCATAATCTTCTTTTGTTAGTTTATTTTATTTTTTGTGTTGACATTTTGCAGCTGGCAATTTTGAATTTCTTCTTGTGTCTGTTATTCTTTACTTGTGTGCCCTGAAGGGCCCCTAATTGGTGCCATTTATCTTATGTGTCCAGTTGAAATTGATATTAAGATTTAAAATGTTATGAGTTTTTTTTTATTCTAGGGAAACCTCCAGGGGATGATGTGTGTTTAAAAGATTTGAAGTTAAAACCTACCACCAAAATCAGGGTGATGAGAAAGCTGGTAAGAGTTATAAAACCTTCACTAGAATTGGTTAGAGTTATAAAACCTTCACCACATGCTGGTAAGAGTTGTAGAGCTGGTAAGAGTAAAAGAACCTTCACTAGTGCTGGTAAATATTGGAACCTTCACAATTAAAGAAGCATCTGTATTCAACAGTTCAATACAAATTTACCTTTCTGAATTCTTCTGATCATTTGTATGTTTTTTGGTTTTTTTCCATTTATTAAGAATGGGAATCGAAGCAACATACATGTATGTAGTTTCTGAACAGTGCTAGAGTATATAACTTACATTTGTAAGTTCACGAATTAGAACAGCAAAGTTATCAATATTTTTATGAAAATATTTGTACTTACATTCTTTTGTTTGAATCACACAAAAAAAATTATACTTATTCTGAGTTTATTTTAAAATATAGAGTTACCTCTGAAATTAAATATCAGACTATTTCATTAATATATAAAGAGAAACGAAATTTTTGAATAAAGAAAAACGAAATTATTGAATAAAGAAAAACGAAATTAATATATAAAGAAAAACGAAATTATTAAATAAAGAAAAAACGAAATTATTGAATAAGTCATGTTTTCCTTTATTTAATAATTTCGTTTTTCTTTATATATTAATTTCGTTTTTCTTTATAAATTAATTTCGTTTTTCTTTATATATTAATTTCGTTTTTCAGAAAACTGAGAGTAAAATACGGAATTTATAGATGTGTATGGTAAGGGCCTGAACCCATGAATCATTCCATTAAGCGCACGTGTTACAGGGGATCACCTCGTAACTCTTTCAGCCTTATATCGACATTACAAATGTGTGGTGGAAATGAATAATTCAACAAGATATAAATATCAATCTAACAAACGTAGAGAAATATATGTGCACACAGCCTAAAATTCCGATTTCCGTAAACATTCAATTTTGTTTACGGAAAATTGTTGCTGTGTCATATCCCCACATCATTGTTGGAGTCTGTAAGCCTGGCCTTAGCGAGGATGGGTGTTTCTGTTTGCATAAATTAATGACATTCCACTAAAGCTCATGAATAGCGAGAAGGTCAAGACCTTGAATATCGTATTACTGAATCCCCTAAACTTAACCTAGCGTCCTATCTGTGCACCCATAAATCTTAGGTTGTTGAAGCTATAAGATTTGATTACTTTGTGGGATTTGTTTTGAGCAAGTGTGTGCATTGATTGTTCACAAAGAGCACTGACTTATAAATACAGATTGAGAGTTTGTCATTTGTGAAATCAAGTACTATAGTAGTCATGCAGTACCACAGACTTATAAATATACTAGTCAAAATTTCTAAGTCCCCAGGCAAGTTTTTGCTTTTCACCGCTCTTATATTTAATTATTTTAACAATATAATTTATTAGTATACAGGATAATAAAGTAGCAAAAACAATTTTTCTCACTTAATTTGTTTTATTGAAGAACTTAAACACAATATGTAGAAACGTTAAGGCACCCTAGAATTAAAAATTCACAACGGTAAACACTGTATTATTCTCCATTCAAACGAATTCACAGCAAGACAACCGTTCCTCAAAGAGTTCACACTATTTAAGAAAAATTCTTTTATTGCGTGTTTTTCCATGTGGAGACTAGATCGTCCTCTAGTTCCGCCTGATTCTGCTGCTGGACAAGCTGTCTCACTCCCCGGTCTATCTTCTTCCATACTTGCTAATTAGGGTTGAGATTAGGATGACAAGGGGGCTTATCGAAATTGTCTGTGCCTTGACAACAATAGTTACATAACGTCTTTTTACTTGTATTCCCCACTCCTCCATTTTGACATTGAGGGGAGGGCACTTCCGGTTCCGGTTCCATTGATTTTTCCGGATAAACTCTAGGATGCTTTTGTGGTGTTTGTTGAAAATCTAGCGATTTTTAACGATTAAAAGGAATTTGGGTATGCTTTGTAGGTTTTTCGGGCGAAAATTATAAAGGTTTTAAGTAAAATAAAGTCATACAGTAAAAGGAAACATAACTTTCGTTAACTACGACCAAATTGGGCCATTTTAACTTAACTTGCACATTGCTGTGTGGACATACAGCGCATTTTATTCGAGCTTTTTTCTGTTTTTCGTTATCAATAAAAGATGGAGAATACATGGAAGTAAGAAATATAAAGAATACACCCGAAAAACATACGGAACTCGAACTTCATGCCTTTTAACAAAAACGGTCACGGTCGAGTAATTACACATTTGATTACAATTTTTTTGGCCTTGACAAGTAAGTATTACAAATTAAAGGCAAATTTGTAAGCAACTAGTAAATTGAAGTTAAGGTTTTTAACTTTTTGAAAAAATTCAAGTGGGGACTTAGAAATTTTGACAAGTATAGTACAGATTGGGAGTTTGACATTTATTAAGACCAAGAAATCAGAAGTATTTTGCTTTATTTCTAATATAGTAAGCAATCATTAAAATCTACTTATTATAACCACTTTGTTTTAATTTTTGCACTTTTTTCACAATGTCAAACAAACCTTCAAAGTCCGATCGGTGACGTATTACTTTACGGCATTTTCTAATGCATGTACGGTAAAGCCATGGGGATTTCCTAAATGTTTAAAATTCAACAGTACATGTTGTGAACAACGGAATCTTAACCTTCATGTTTCTCTTAAATATTTGTGCAATTTATTAGGATAATCTCTTTAATGTTTCATGTCCAAAGTCATTTTTTGCGTGTATAGATTCATTATTTGCTGATCTTTAAACCTTTCGAGCAGAGGGTTTAAGAAAGCTAATGTTAATCAATTGTTAACGTCAACATCTCACCGAATTACTGGCCAAATTATCAGAGTGGTTAAAGTTCACATTAATCATGTTAATGCAAGATAAAAACATAAATCTAAGCATATCACTATTAGATACAAAGGTTAAATTCTCCCCATTCATTCATTTATTGTAATAGTTATGTATTCGATATGGGAGTCGGTGAGTACGAAGGCAAACATCACACTTGTTTATTGTCGAAACAAAATCAGGTCTAAAGACACATGCGCTTATGATTTCTGGGTTCAGGCCCTTACCATGCACATCTGTAAATTTCATATTTTAGTTTCAGTTTTCTACTTGAAAAACGAAATTAATATATGAAGAAAAACGAAATTAATATATAAAGAAAAACGAACTTATTAAAAGTACTTTATTTAACTTTATTAAATAAAGAAAAACGAAATTATTAAATAAAGAAAAACGAAATTAATAGATAAAGAGAAACGAAATTAATATATAAGGAAAAACGAAATTATTAAATAAGGAAAAATGAAATTATTAAATAAAGAAAAACGAAAGCATTAAATAAATCATTTCGTTTTTCTTTATTTAATAATTTCGTTTTTCTTTATTTAATAATTTCGTTTTTCTTTATTTAATAATTTCGTTTTTCTTTATTTAATAATTTCGTTTTTCTTTATTTAATAATTTCGTTTTTCTTTATTTATTTTTGGTTTGCACTATTGGGCTTCCGCAGATCTGAGTGCACTTCATTATTTCATTAGTTACAGGGCGCACTAATTTATTTGGGTTTAAAGTAAATGTATTTTTCAAGATGTTTCTGTATACACAAGGGTCTAAGGCAGAAAAGTGTACTGTATCTTATAACTGTAGTAAATGGTCTAGAAGAATTGACTTGGGAATGGAATGTGATGAAAACAAGTCATATTTACAAAAATAATAAAAACATGTACATTATTTAGTTATTAGAAACAACAAGAATGTCTCAAGAACTGCATCTTTATCAATTTTATAGATTATCAGAAATATTATATGCTTTGTACATGTAAGTTGTATGTTTATTCCATTATGATTTATCACACGTGTTAAGATGTATGTTTATTTCATTATTACATGTGTTTTGTCTATGAGATGCATGTCTCTCGACTTCAAAACTGAAACTGAATAATTAATCATTTTTAATATGATGGACTCCTGACTGCTTATCATATATCATAATTTGAGCCAAAAGTCTAATGTATTATTTGTATAATTTCATTTAAAGTGCTAAAAATTGGCACTCCCTTATATAATTCTATAGAAAATGTACCTGTATTTTTAGATTGTCCCTTAAAAATACCTGGACGGTAGATTTTCCGTAAACTTGGCATGTACACTGAAGTCAATGTAAGTTAAATATGGTATAAAGTTGAAGAATTCTATAGTAGTTTTCTTCACAGAATAAAACCAGAGCCAGCTCCTTTATATATAAATAAAAAGTATTGTCCACGATTTTTTAAAAAGATTTTGAAGTCAAGCTGCAGGGGCTAGGGCATAAAATCAAAAATTAGCATATTCTGAAAGGTCATATGGCAGGTAATGAACATTGTGAAAAATATAAAAGACCTGTCTTTTTTGGTGGACATATACATGTATACTACCAGTCTTGCTTCAGATGCTGTATCTGATCTACATTTTCAGGATGGGTGAACATGTTAATGTTTTTAATGCAGATCTTATTTCCAAGTAACTGTAAACCCTATTCTGACCAAACATGCATGGATGATACATCTAAGGATGCATACTACCAGGCTTGCTGCAGATGATGGATGTGACCTACAAATCCTGGATGAGTTTACAGGTTAAAGTTTTTGGTGCAGGTCTCATTTCCAAGTAACTAGTGACATATACTTGTCAAAATTTCTTAGTCCCCACTTGAATTTTTTCAAAAAGTTAAAAACCTTAACTTCAATTTACTAGTTGCTTACAAATTTGCCTTTAATTTGTAATACTTACTTGTCAAGGCCAAAAAAATTGTAATCAAATGTGTAATTACTCGACCGCGACCGTTTTTGTTAAAAGGCATGAAGTTCGAGTTCCGTATGTTTTTCGGGTGTATTCTTTATATTTCTTACTTCCATGTATTCTCCATCTTTTATTGATAACGAAAAACAGAAAAAAGCTCGAATAAAATGCGGTGTATGTCCACACAGCAATGTGCAAGTTAAGTTAAAATGGCCCAATTTGGTCGTAGTTAAGGAAAGTTATGTTTCCTTTTACTGTATGACTTTATTTTACTTAAAACCTTTATAATTTTCGCCCGAAAAACCTACAAAGCATACCCAAATTCCTTTTAATCGTTAAAAATCGCTAGATTTTCAACAAACACCACATAAGCATCCTAGAGTTTATCCGGAAAAATCAATGGACCGGAACCGGAAGTGCCCTCCCCTCAATGTCAAAATGGAAGAGTGGGGAATACAAGTAAGAAGACGTTATATAACTATTGTTGACAAGGCACAGACAATTTCGATAAGCCCCCTTGTCATCCTAATCTCAACCCTAATTACACATGTAGCAAGTATGGAAGAAGATAGACCGGGGAGTGAGACAGCTTGTCCAGCAGCAGAATCAGGCGGAACTAGAGGACGATCTAGTCTCCACATGGAAAAACACTCAATAAAAGAATTTTTCTGAAATAGTGTGAACTCTTTGAGGAACAGTTGTCTTGCTGTGAATTCGTTTGAATGGAGAATAATACAGTGTTTACCGTTGTGAATTTTTAATTCTAGGGTGCCTTAATGTTTCTACATATTGTGTTTAAGTTCTTCAATAAAACAAATTAAGTGAGAAAAATTGTTTTTGCTACTTTATTATCCTGTATACTAATAAATTATATTGTTAAAATAATTAAATATGAGAGCGGTGAAAAGCAAAAACTTGCCTGGGGACTTAGAAATTTTGACTAGTATATACCAAACTTGCATAGATGATACATCTAAAGATGCATACTACCAAACTTGCTTCAGGTGTTGGATCTAACCTACATTTTCTGGATGAGTTAACAGGTTAAAGTTTTGGAGCAGGCTCATTCTAATGTAACTATAAGCCCTTTGTTGACCAAACTTGCATGGAAGATACATCATCAGGCAGCACTTAGATTTTCCAGAGTGATATTGGGATGTGCACTTCTAGATAATTAGTTTAATATGGGACTTTGCCTGACTTAAAGACAAACATTCGTTGAGATGAGATCTGTAATATCTTATTACCTATGGGTTTTTTTATGTCTAGATGGTCATTGTGAACAAGCAAAAGTCAATTTAATGTCAAAATGTTCCGAATATATACATCCAATTTAAGTAAATATGGTAAATAATCATTTGTAAGGTTAAAACAGTGTCTATTTCAAATCTTAGTATTACTGAAATTCTAGCATATTGTTTCTGATTAGATTACACAGATTCTTGATTTGAAAAAAAAGAAATATTTATTAATATGCCAATAAATCCCTTGTCTATTAATATTATTTCTATAGACTGTATCTCTTGCTGTGTTGTAATAAATGCATGTGAAAAAAATTATTTAACATAATGGACACCTTTCATTTAGAGTCCATAAGTGCATTAACTTTAAATGCTGCTTTCAGATTACATGCATCTGCTCTCTTTCAAATGTGTGATATACCTGTATGAGATTTATTTTTCAGGAATGTCATTTATTCTCACTTAAATTAGTGTTGTTTTTTTATCCTTTCAATTTTTGCATGCATCACCCAATGGTGCAAAAATCATGTGAGTAGAAGAGATTTTAACAGACTTTTTATTTGTGTTTGGTGTCAAATTAATGCACTGTAAACCTTGCCTAAGCCTACACTTATTTTACGACATATGAAAAGGAATGTGTTTTTATTCATTTTCATGTGCATGTACTAATGTTTGCATTTGTAAAATAACAACATCAAAAATTAAAATCGGAAGGTAATTTTCATTAATTAAAAAAATCTTATTGTAACTTGGCAATTAAAATGTCAAAAAAAAAATTTGGGAGAGGAAGTTGCAGATAATGCAGTTTATTGCATCCCGACACTTCATTGACATGGTACACAGCAATTATAAGAAATTACAGGCATTTTATATGTTAGCTCACCTGAGCTGAAAACTCAAATGAGCTTTTCTGCTATCCTGTTGTGGGGCCAGGGATGGGGTCAATTATATGGAATAGTAATTAATTAAATTACAATTACTTGCCCAAAATCTTAATTACCATTACAGTTACAAGGATTTTGAAATATAATTAATTAAATTACAATTACTGTGTAAATGTAATTAAATGAATTACAAATTTAACATTCAAGAAAACGCTTATGAAATTAATAATCATGTACCTTCCTTTATACTCACATCAGATTAGTAACATCATTTTTTTAAAGTTATATTATTTAATAAATGTTCATGAAATTTTCAAATATTGTGTCCCCTAATATTCATCTATTAGAATTGACTTTGAAGATTTTCCTGTCATGCTGAAGATACATTCCAATGGGACATTCTTGGCAGGAACAAAGATACTGACTAGTAGAAAGTTTGTTCATTGTTTTACCTAAATTCATCTGTGTTTCAATATTTGATGTCAGTTTTTAAGTTTTCTTATATATTTTTGAAAAACTACTGTATAGTGAACATGGTGAATGATTTTTATGTCTTAATATTTCCTTTTTTCAGCTTCATAACCTATTATCTCAAAATGTCTGTATTTTACTAATGTGCCAAACTACAATTTTAAGTCAAACAGTGTATAAAACTGCAACAGCCGCAAAGTCAATATGTGTGAAAATACCTTTTAAGGAATATATACATGACCTTAGGACATTAGCACCTGTTAATCATTACTATCGAACACATGCAGTAGATTTGGCAAACAAAGGATTAGAAGCCATTGGACTAGAATACTTTAACTGTCAATTCATAAACAATTTAATCCAGATTATTAAATTTGTTGTACATTATACAAGGATTAATTTGATTCAAAATTTTTTTAAGAATATGAATAAAATGAATGTTTAAACAGCAATTTCGTTAAAAGGGGAAATATGAGTTTGTAAAATTCCTTTGAAGAAATTAACCTTCAAAATATCTTTTTCTTAAATAATGTGTAGGGGAGGGGGGTGTCTATTTTTATTGATTAAACATCAATGTAATTGAATGTAACTGAAAAGTGATTGTGAATAACATGTCTTTTGGGAAGGTAATTAATTAAATTACAATGACATGTAATTGAAAATTTGGCCATTTACACATTACTCTCAATTACATTGAAATTTGTAATTAATTACATTACCATTACACATTACCATTACCCCAAACCTGTGTGGGACATCCATCCGCCTGAGAATTTATCACATTCCACAAGAGGATATCAAAGTTTTCTGTTGAAATACATAGAAAAAAAAACTTTTTGAAAATCTTCACAAAAACCATTTAGCGAGAAGAAATAAAACTTGTGTGATAGTTTTCTGAAATTTGTACAATCAATGATATCAGGAGTTAAATTGGATTGAGCCACAAAAGAGGATCAAAGTTTTACATTGACTAAATTATCAAAGAAAAATATTTTGAAAATGTTCTTTTCAAGAACCATTGGCCAGAAAAGATAAAACTTATGTGAAAGCTTCCAAATCTAAATAGTTCAAATCATGACTCCCAGGGGTAGGGTGGGGCAACAAAAGGGGATCAGATTTTCATATAAAAATATTTAGAAAAAAGTTCTTAAATATGTTTTCCTTAAGAACCATTCGCCAGAAGAGATGAAGAGATTAAAGCGTTCTAAGATATTGTAGATTCTCTTTTTTCAAAATATTGTCCTGTAGGTAGGGTGGGACCACAAAACGGGATCAAAGTTTTATATGCCAAGGACTCTACAGGAAATAAATTTTAAAAATCTTAAAAACCACAATCTTTCCACATACATGTACATTCAAAAATTCCCAAGTTCAGTGAAATCCTTTTTTTTACGTATATGCAAACATTAAGAATTTTTTCATATTAATATCAAATTGTTTTCAATCAAATAGTTTGGCCAGCACAATCATTATTTTATCTGGGTAAAAGTAACAGGTACTGGCAGGTTTTAAAAGGCCTCTATTTCTGTTCCAGATAGTGACCAGGGTAATGTTTTCGTGAATCAGATAGAGTTGCAATTTCATATAGTTCCTTATAACACTTGATGTTTCCTTGCTAAATTCTCTTCTGAGGTTAATGTCCCTGAAGTTTTGTGAATTTTGATTCTGAAGCTAGACAAATACTGAATTTTTTATTGGCTATCTGCAATCAATGGGATAATTCAAGCTGTTTGGAGGCTCTTGTCAGTCCAGGGCAAAACTCCAGTATCGTAGATAATGGTGAAAGAGTATATTCTTAGTAAGCTTTAAAGTCTGTATTTTAAGTCTAGTTATTAGCTTTCCTGCATAATATTTACATACAGGATAAAGTGAAGGAAGCTCAAGAGTATCTGACAGGAGTGGAGAGTGATTCTGACATAGAAGAGGAAGAGATATCAAAGGAAAGCAGGTATCATATTGTCAATGTCAGTGGTGCTCTTTACACAAGTCTAGTTTATTATGGAACAAAAAAAAACTGTAGCAGACTCATTTGAGCTGTTTCAGGTTTTTTTTTTTTTTGAGGGGGGGGGGGGGGGGGGGGGGGGGCTGCGAGATGATCGTGAATTATTCATGATTTTCCTTGAATTTTTCATGAATTTTATTCATGAAATATTCATGAAGATCCTATTAAGTTATTATTGGACGTTTTCAAATCATAAGTTTTTATTCATAAAAGAAAATTGATGAATATTGAATAATAAATGATTTTAGCTCACCTGAGCCAAAGGCTCAAGTGAGCTTTTCTGATCAAAATTTGTCTGTGGTAGTCGTCGTTGTCCTTGTTGTCGTCGTCGTTGTCATTGTAAACTTTTCACATTTTGGACTTGTTCTCAAGAACCACTGGGCCTATTTCAACCAAACTTGACACAAAGTATTCTTACATGTATGTGAAGGGGATTTAAGTTTGTTCAAATGAAGGGCCACGCCTTTATTCAAGGGGAGATAATTAAGAAATGATGAAAAATTGATGGTATGTTTTAAAAATCTTCTTCTCAAGAACCACTATGCTAGGAAAGATGAAACTCTCAGGAAGTGTAGATTCAAGTTTGTACAAATCATGACCCCTTGGGGTAGGGCGGGGCCAAAATGGCTGATCAAAGTTTTACATAGAATATATAGAAAAATTCTTTAAAAATCTTCTTCTTAAGAACCACTGAGCCAGGAAAGATGAAACTTAAAGGGAAGCAACCTCAGGTAGTGTAGATTCAAGTTTTTTCAAATCATGACCCCTGGGGGTAGGGCGGGGCCAAAATGGCCGATCAAAGTTTTACATAGAAATATATAGGAAAATTCTTTAATTTTTTTTTCTCAAGAAGCACTGTGCCAGGAGAGATGAAACTTATAGGGAAGTATCCACAAGTGGTGTAGATTCAAGTTTTTTTTTCAAATCATGACCCCTGGGTGTAGGGCGGAGCCAAAATGGCCGATCAAAGTTTTACATAGAAATATATAGAAAAATTCTTTAAAAGTCTTCTTCGCAAGAACCACTGTGCCAGGAAAGATGAATTTTATAGGGAAGCATCCTCAGGTAGTGTAAATTCAAGTTTGTTCAATTCATGACCCCTTGGGGTAGGGTGGGGCCACAGCATGGAATCCAAGTTTTACATAGAATCATTTAGAAAAAATCTTTAAGATACTTCTTTTCAAGAATAGCAAAGCCATGATTAGTCCTGTTCATATGGAAGCATTCTTGGGTAGTGTAGGTTCAATTTTGTTCAAGTCATGACCTCTTGGGGTATAGGGCGGGGCCACAATGTAAGTTCAAATGTGAAGGGCAGTAAAGCCACAGGTAATCAAAGAAATATGCAAGCTTAGTTTGTGAAGATTCAAGTTTGTTCAAATCATACCATCTCCCTTTCAAGGATTGGTTTAGACCACTACTGGGTTTTAACTTTTCAATAATAAACCGATTTCTGCTTTTTGGATATCCACATTGCTCAGGTGAGCGATGTGGCCCATGGGCCTCTTGTTTTTTCATGAATAATTCATGAAAAGTAATATTCATGAAGATTCATCATTTCATGAATTGTCAAATAATAAGTTCATTGGATCTTCATGAACTGTTCATGATTAATTTGTGAAATTTATTCACGTATGTCATAAATGATTAATTTGAATTGTAAAGGAACATCAAGTTATCAATTTCAAAAAAAAAATGCGGTCAATGATGATGCAGTGTTTGTTCAATTATGATCAAATCAAAACAGGAAATGTTTAGAGATTACATGATTTATTTTTCAGGGAGGTGAAAGCATGTTATGAATTAAACCAGGGGCTATTCAACAATTGCATCTGCATGAAAAGGGTTATTGTGAGAGTAATTAGTGTTTTCTGACAATCGTTTGTGTCAATTACTTAGTCTTCATGGAAATTCATTAAGATATATAATACCTTGAGCTATACGATCTTCCTGTCTTTAAACTGAAAATTACACATATTCATATATATTCATCATCTGTTCATGAACTACATTTTTAGCTCACCTGAGCCGAAGGCTCAAGTGAGCTTTTCTGATCAAAATTTGTCCGTCGTTGTTGTCGTTGGCGTTGTCGTTGTTGTAAACTTTTCACATTTTCATCTTCTTCTCAAGAACCACGGGGCCAATTTCAACCAAACTTGCCACAAAGAATCCTTAGATGAAGGGAATTCAAATTTGTTCAAATAAAGGGCCACGCCCTTTTCCAAGGAGAGATAATTATGAATTAGAGAAAAATTACTAGCGTTTTTAAAAAAATCTTCTTTTCAAGAACCACTGGACCAGGAAAGATGAAACTCATGTGAAATCATCCTCAGGTAGTGTAGATTCTAGTTTCTTCAAATCATGACCCCCATGTGTAGGGTGGGGCCAAAATGCCCGATCAAAGTTTTACATACGAATATTTAGGAAAAATCTTTAAAAATCTTCTTCTCAAGAACCACTGAGCCAGGAAAGATGAAACTCATGTGGGGTTATCCTCAGGTAGTGTAGATCCAAGTTTGTTCAAATCATGACCCCCGGGGGTAAGGTGGGGCCAAAATGGCCGATCAAATTTTTACATAGGAATATATAGGAAAAATCTTTAAAAATCTTTTTCTCAAGAACCACTGGGCCAGGAAAGATGAAATTCATGTGGAATCATTTTCAGGTAGTGTAGATTCAATTTATTCAAATCATGACCCCCGGGGGTAGGGTGGGGCCAAAATGGCCGATCAAAGTTTTACATAGGAAATATAGGAAAAATCTTTAAAAGTCTTCTTCTCGAGAATCACTGGGCCAGGAAAGATGAAACTCATGTGGAATCATCCTCAGTTAGTGTAGATTCAAGTTTGTTCACATCATGATCCCCTGTTGTAGGGTGGGGCAAAATGGCCGATAAAGTTTTACAAAGGAAGATGTAGGGAATCCTTTTAAAATCTTCTTTTCAAGTACTTCAAAGCCATGCTTATAGTGACATTTATAGGGAATCATCCTCAGGTAGTGTAGATTCTAGTTTGTTCAAATCAAGACCCCCTGGGGGTTAAAATTCAAGCCCCCCCCCCCCTAGTAAACTTTCAGTTCTGATCTGATATGTGATTTTTCCTAGCCAATTGCTCAGGTGAGCGATGTGGCCCCTGGGCCTCTTGTATAAATATATTCATGAATAAAATTCATGAACCATCTTTATGAACCAGTCATGAATAAATTATTAATGTTCATGAACGCTTCATAAAAGTTCCTGAAATTATGAATTTCACATTGCAGGGATGGGAGGGGGGGGGGGGGGGGGCTTTGCTTGCAGCACCTCATTTGAGTTGAAATTCATGATAAGCAATTGATCATAGTAATCAGGCAATAAAAGTCGAGGGTTAGTTGAAGGTCACAGCTCTGATAGTGCATTTGCATTTTAAAAAGACTGGTATATAAATGGCATATACTAGTATATGGAAATTGTAGTGATGTTACAAATATACAGTTACTGTGGAGCATACTTGTAAATCATTAACAATGATGTTTAGAGGTCTATATATAAAGAAATATTATCAAAAAAAAACTGGATACATCAGAAACATAAGCAAGTGATTAGTACTGAAAACATCTATATTGACAACATTAATAAAGTGTAAATGAATACTGATTTTTGTGTTTTTCTAGAGAAGAGTACCTTTCCAAACTAGACAGACACATCAAAGACTATAAAATCAATGTACTAAATGAACCAAGGCAAGGGAAGAAACTCTTGGTGTTGGACATTGACAAAACTTTGTTTGGTAAGTGCAAGTTTTATCATTACCCATACGTATGTACAACGAAGAGGAATTGGTTTAATCACTGTTACATCGTGTGATAAAAATCTGACAAAAAATGGATAAAACATTTTAAAGATTGATACAATTTACTTGAACATGCACCATTATTCATTTGGAAATTTTACTTTATGTACTGTGAAATCACAGATTTTTCGTGGGGGGTTAAATTTTCATTGTGTTTGAGGTATGACAATTCCCACGAATTCATGTCCACCTCGAAATGTAAAATGTTACATTCATAAGAACTTATTAATTCTTGGTCAACGAAATCAAATCCCCACGAAACAAGAGATTATCCTCAAGCCACGAAAATTTGACCCCACGAAAATATGTGATTTTACAGTATTTCAAGGTACAGTTAACTAAACCAATAGAATATCTGAGTTTCAGGCTTCTCAACAAACCTTATTTTTTTTCATTTCAATACACCTGAGATAGTGAGAAGTGTTGGAAAATCAGACCAAATTTACTATTATTATTAATTTGAATATGAAGCAATTGAGTAATATGTGATTGATAGGTTTATTTTAAAAATATGATACTATCCATGTACATGTAATATGTATAATATCCTGCAAGACCAGTTTCAAAAATGCTTTGTTGTAAAGGAAAATATTGTGTCGAGTAACTTCCTTTGATATCACTTTAAGATAAATTAGTGGATTTCTATTTTCATTGACATACATGTACAGCAACAATTTTTCGATGGTCGACAATTCTCAAAACAAGTCTATTACGGTGTCAGTTATCCATATGTCTTGAAACAATTTTACATTATGCTACTGTATTGGTCTGAAATTCAGTAAACTTGATACACAAGTAAACTACTCAAAGATACATAATTATGTTTATTGGTTTTGATGTAAAAAAAAAAGGGGGGGTGAAAAAGAGAAAATGTGTTTGCCATGCTTGATTTAAAATTTAATTTTCTGTAATTGATCTTCTAGCTCATATGGTTTTGTTCTTTAAGAATGCATATGAAAATCAAAACACAAAAGATTACTTTCAAGACAGAGAGTTCTGTTTAGGTTTCTGATTTTGATAACCAATCGCCTATCCTGGTAAAGATTATGGGGAAAAAATCTTTGAAATTCTTTCAACAGACTAATCCTATAGTTTTAGTTCCAATTTCAATCATGGAACACGCAAAGACTAAAACGAGATTCATAATTTCATTTATATTTGCTTTAATTGACACAGTCCAGGTGTTACTTTTTCTTGTGGAGTTAGAGCTACAGTTCTGTCAGAGACAGCTGTTTCAGCATAGGAAATTCGAATGGATGATGATTTATATCTTAGAGATCACAATAGCACAAAAACTTTGTGGAAGATTTTTTTTAAATTTCGAGCTGTAGCATATATTAATATGGTAAATAATTTAGTATGTCCTGTAGTCTTTTTAATTTTCTGTTTTTTAGATCACAGATCTGTAGCTGAAACTGCTAAGGAATTAATGAGGCCATACCTACATGAATTTCTGCAGTCAGCTTATGAGGACTATGACATTGTAATATGGTGTAAGTAATTTACCAAGAAATTACAGATGTAAAATCACATATTTTTGTAGGGTTAAATTTTTGTGAATTGAGAATTAAAACAAATGGTGGTTCAAGGGAATGTGAATGAGAAAATATTGAGTTATATATTCAAAACTTGACATTTTAAGGGGGTTACGAATTCATGGTTCTCTTCATACCATGAAAACAACAAAAATTAAACCCCAAAATTAGTAGTGTGACAGTATTCATCATATGAAGATTATGACAATATAAATTTTACTTCATAAAGAATTGACTTTATATTCATTTTAATATGAAGAATTAATGAATGCAATATGATGAAAGTTCCCAAAGAACTGATATATTTATCATAATGTGGATTAGCTTTGTTTGTTTGTTGTTTGATGCCCCTTTCAAGAATTTTTCACTCATATGGAGACACCACCGCTTATCAGTCGTGAGCTACAATTTTTTTCCTTTACTCTGCACACAAGGACATTGAGCAGTGAGGGATCTTTTCTGTGCCAGCATCTTCTGCAACGCAGGACCTCGATTTATACAGTCTCACCTTAAAAAAAAATGTCTCCATGTCCCACAGTGGGATTCAAACCCGCAACAAAACTCCTTACTCATTGACTCTAGCACAGACACTTTTACCACCGTGCCACGTGGCCAATTTGATAAAGATTAGACTTGAAACTAAAAATTATCCTCAGGTACATCTGATTATCAAGTGACATTTAAAGCAAGCTTGCATGATCCAGGGATCTGCAGCTGTGCAGTACTTAACTGAGCTTTAGGTATGGAACCCACCAAAAATGATGATGTGTCTAGATTCTGCAATTTCGACAGGAGCTTTTATCATACTTGTTAATATGCCACTATACTTGCAATAAGTTTCTATGTTTTTTTTGCCACTAAGATAAAAGTCATGTACAGATTGATCATAGAATTAGTATTTCGACATATTGTGGAAGAAGAGGCAGTAATATGCAACCAAGTGTCAGGAATTAATCTGTTTTTTATGTTTTAAGTGCAGGTGTGTACTTACAATTGACATTGTGACTTTCACAATTGTAATGTAATGTGCAAAACTATAATTTGAATGTATAAAGTTGTCCAGATGAGGTGGAAATTATACAGATTTTTACATAGTACATGTAATAGCATTTTAAATCTGTCAGACATTAACAAATGTAGTTTCTAAAGATTTGCATTCTTTCTGTTAAAAAAGTAACCTTACAAAAATGTTTCTACTGGTAAAATGTGTTAAGAAATCAAATTTTATGGTTGAATTTATGGATGCATAACTTAAATTGTTTTAAGAATCAGCTAGAAGAGTTTACAAACAGTTGCTGAGACCTTAAATGTAAAACTAATTTTTCATTAGACAAGTCTTTTGTATTTTTAAGGGAGACAAAATTTTCACAAGTCTGGTTATCATAATATATATTGTTAATAAAATATATTTAATTTACTTTGTTTGTTAAACGTCCCTTCAAGAGTTTTAAAATCATATTGAGATGCCACCATGTGCTGTTGGAAAGATGCAAACTTAGGCCTGTACTTGGCACTACTGCAACACAGGACCTTGGTTTATACTATGTCTTCAAGAGGACCGGCCTCCATATTCACTCAGTTGGATTCAAGCTAGCAACTTAAGGATCAAATCCTTACTCCACAGCTCAAGCATCTTCTCTGGCCAAGGGTTTCTGATACGGTTCTCTCCTCATAAACCCTTGTCAAACGGTGTTTGAAAAAGTTAGGAATTTTTTCTCAAGTTGTGATTGGGGTGGATTGGGGTGGATCGACATCAATCGACCAATCAGCAGTTGTTTTTCGTAAATAACAATATTTGCTTTCGGGACATATTTAATCTCGGAAATGAAAAACGCAAGTAAACTTTATGCTATTCTATGAATAGATATGGTGTCATCCAACATCTTAAGATATGTGTGCAAAAAATGTTTAAGTATCTATATTGAAGATGTACATTTGCACTTTAAATAGCAAATGAAAAATCAAAACCTTCTTGATAATTATTCTTTCAAACCATTCTTGATTTGAATATGTTATTTATTTCTGTTGTAACCGCAATATGTGTGTACCTGTTCGAATTCGAGATCACGTGACGAAAACAATTTCTTCTTTTAACATCACCATATGCCAAGGGTTTATGAGGAGAGTAGCCTATCAGAGACGATGCAACTCTAGAGCAAACACAATAATATAAACCACTGCGCCACATGACTGGCCATTGCTAAATATATATTCTTCACTAATGAAAATGTATACACAAAAATGAAATGAGATAATGCATAGGGATGCATACAATTTAAACAGTCATTCATTTTATTAGAGACTTTGTTTTTCTTGTGAATATTTGATGAGCCTTGTAAATTTTAATTGCCTATGCTTCAACAGTGTTCAAGTTACTAGTATATTCAGGTTGCAAACATTTTTTAAAACAGCTGCTACGGGGATGGATTGGGTAGAGGTCAAGATGAAGGAACTAGGGGTAACTTCAAATCCCAACTACAAGATCTGCTTCATGTTGGATCGTCCTGCCAGGATCAGTGTCCATACACCTAAATATGGAATCATTGAGGTAAAAAGACTACATGCCTACATGTACAATGCACCATTATTTCACTAATATTATCTAACTTTGTCTGCAGCTGCCTTTGAAATCACAAATTTTCATGGTGTTTCAATTTTTGTTGTTTTCATGGTATCTAAGGGATCGACCCATTAATTCATATTCCGATTGAAATTTGAAATGTTCATGCTCCTATTAATTCTTCTTTAACCATGAAATCGAATCATCTGAACCAGTAGTATTTGTACAAATCCTAAAACAAATTGACCTCATGAAAACAAGTGATTTTACACTACGAAAGGGGAATCAATTTTAAAAAGTTTGTGGCAAATTTTTGTTGTTACGTGGATATATTCAGAAAACAATCATGGGATAAAAATTCTCCATGTATTTAAAGGCGAAGGCACTAGGAGTGATTTGGGGCAAGTATGAACAATGGAGTGCCAAAAATACAATTATGTTTGATGATATTCGAAGAAACTTCATCATGAACCCCCAAACAGGACTAAGGGTATGTAATTTAAAATGCTTGTCACTTCTCCATGTCACCTGATCCCACCTTGAAGTTTTTAAAGGCCCTTATTTGCTCTGCTCCCAATGTGTTTTGTTTCAGTGGTATTTCGAGGTTGTAAACTTTGTTATCTACATATTTCATTTAGAAATATAAGTTCCTCAACCAGTACCAGCTAGAAATCTTTTTTTGGAACTTTTTTCAAGCCTCTATCTGCAAGACTAAGTACATGTCAAAATCTCTGTGTACAAATACATCATATTCAAATAATAGTGAATAAAGAACAAGAGGCCCATGGGCCACAGCGCTCACCTGAGCGATCTTTTCAAATTTAGAATGTTTTTTTTTTCTTTTATTATGTCTCCTGACTTCCAAAAGTGTCATGTTACAAGTGTAAAGTATTTGTTTATATTATGTAATCGACCGCAGAGCGGCAGCTCCCCAGTAGCTGCTGTGTATTGGCAGCTCCACCGGAGCTGCCCCTCTGCGGTCGATTACATAATATAAACAAATACTTTACAAAAAACATATAAACAAATACTTTACACAAGTATATCGAATCCATTTTAATGATTTGGATGCATAAATTCCAATTTGACTTATTGTGTTCTTTTTACTAAGAAGTTTTATCATCTAGGCTTCAGACATATATGCACATACTGTAATTCCATTTATGAGCCAAAGATTGTTCATTAATTACTGCATTTTGCATTCAGCTTCACAAGTGCAATCAGTAACTTACTTTCCTTCAGTAAATAAGGAAAAAACATGGTTGTGCTTAAAACTTTATTCAGAAAGTTATGCAATTCTTCAGTAATTA